CATGGTCCGGGGTTCGAGCCCGCGCCGACGCACATCTGATATCTATGGTCGGCCTGCAAAATTTGGGCTACCGATATCCATGCTGAAAATTCCATACTTGTACCAAAAATACAGTGTGGAATCAAGCTGTAAATCAAAAATAAAAATAATAGATCATGGTTTAAAGTATATGTATGCAGTAATATACGAAATTGTAATACTAAACCGAACGCCAATATTACAAAATAAATTTTTAGGAATGACAAGGAATGCACAATAATAAATTCTCATGAGTCATGTTCATATTAAGTTCAATTTATATTGATTATAAACTTCAGATGGAGGAGGGATCATATCAAGGACGGGGAGGAGAAGAAGGATTTTTTGGGTTAGAATTTACGTGCGCTGTATGTGTGTCAGTGCGTAAGTTAACTACTACGCTTAGATAAGAAAACAAAAGGTTAGTTAATGCAAGTGTAATGACAAAGGGTAGGGGAATCTAAATGTACAGGATGGATAACCGCAACAACGAAAGGTCCGATGCAATAAGGTATTATGAATTTTCAAACTCCACAGTATGCCCAGGCAGTGACAGTGACTGGACCTGTTTCTTCTGCACACAGAGCACCGGTTGTTTCAGGCCATTCGCGATAGCCTCTGCTGTTAAGAGTATGCGGTACCTGGATGATTTTGGCAATTTGTTTGGTACCCGATAGACGATGGAGAAGGACTCTTCAATACTGGCTTTGTGGCCAGTTTGAACCAGGTGTTCTAATATGGAACTATTGATGCTTCTAACCCATCCCATATGTCAAAATCTTGGTACTGACTGAATTCCTATAGTCCAGTTTGCAATGTGGTTATCCGGCTAGGTGACGCACCATCGCGGTGCACTCCAAATTTATGTTAAATGACTAAAAGTAGTTCCATCAAGAAGTCCTGAGACTAGGCTTACTGCCTATTGCCACACATCAAAAAGCCCTACCTGTAAAGTCGGAGTAAGTCATGTTCCCTCAGAGATTTGAAACCACACCTATCAGGATTGCAGTCAGAAAATGACCAAATAGCTGAAAATTTAACCTCTGTGACTGCAGAGAACTAAGTGATAACTAGTGAAACTATTAATAAAACGTGTCTTGTAACATGACATAGGAAAAAATAATATTCTGAAACGGTCTACACAAATATTTAGTTTGGCTAACTTGAATTTTTGAGGTGTAACAACGACTAGATCGGCCGGTTCATAACTTCTTAACACTCTGAGTTTTGAAGATGAATTTCACATAATTGTGTACTACTTCAACTGATTCCTTAATTGGATGGATGACAAGGAATAAAAATATTTTTTCTTTAGGAGAAACTGTGAAAACGACTTGTTTCTTTAGTGTCACGATATATACTACTTATAATTAGATATAAGTAGCTTATCGACAAAATCTTCAGAGAAGTAGTGGTAATATGCTTGTGAATACATGGGTCAATGAAAAAAACTGCGAGAATGTAAAACCACTGAAAAGAATTCAATGAGAAACAGACAAGAACAACATTAGTATTATTATTATTATTACGTGAGAATTCTGCAATGAATGTAAAGTTTATAACTTATTTCAAGTCTGACTTCAATCTGACTTTCACGAACTAACCTCAGTTAGAGAATCATTAAAAAACGAGGGAATACTGAACATCTGTTTCGACTTAAACTAAGACCCTGAAGCTGTGCACACCCATGGCCACGAACCCAGTATCTTGATTTTACAAAACGAGGTCATTGGTCATTCAGCAACTGAGACGGAATTTGATGATCCATCAGTTCTAACTTCTACCAATTCGCAACATATGTAACTCGAATGACAGCCGAAGTCATCTGTCCTCACACCCAACTCCATGAACCCCGCCGGTTACAGCTTTGCAGTGTTTCCCTAACTGAAGATGTTCCACAATCATACCTGAAGATAATCCAACTCCTGGAAACTAACACTTGAGAGGTTTGTGATCTCATCAACCTCCGTTGTATTTTTTCCTAACTAACATTACATCTACCTCCACTTCGGTATTGTAACAACAAAAGGCAAGAGACGGATGCCAAGGTATATTTTCTATTCACTAAACCTCTGTTTATATATATCCGGTTTATATTCGTCAACTAATCAATGAGCGTGTGATTTCGGTTTACATGAAACGACATGTATATAGTATTCTGTTTCTAATTCTGTATTGGCCTGTGGGAATATGTGAGAATAATATTCCGTTGGAAAACATTGTCTGTATCATACCACCACAGTATGACTTTTTTCATACTGAATGATGGAGAAATCTTCCTGCTATTGTATATATGAATAGTCAAATAATTTATCTTCATACTCTGTCAAAAAGAAATCACTTACTCAGGATCTTGTACTTTTTTCCTTATTGTCGACAAATCCATTGGATGCTTGATTATTTTCCGATAAATTGGCACTTGTTTAGGATTGACGGGTTTACGAAACGCCCATGAAGCTTCATGATTTAATAAATCGTCAGTCGCTCGACTATCGGTATAAAATAAAGAATATACAGATTAATAAATAAGAAACTAAAGATAGTACAACAAAAATCTCCAATTAGACATATCGGTGATGTTTTCCTCAACCACACAGGTGGTCCAGGTTCGATTCCAAGACAAAACGTACTACTAAATCTCACCTAGTATACTACCGGTAGGCAGTAAGCCTGGAAAAGAGGTACGGTGGTGTTAGAAGCTGGCAATCCTACCCCGTAAAAGTATAATGCCACTGCTGCTGAAACCTCAAAAGCTCAATGCTTCAGGCCTGACATTCCACTCGTAACTCAAAGTAAAAGAAATACGACGCTTAGAAGACAACATGCCGAGCTATGTAAAGCAGAGGCCAACAAGATCCACCTAAAGAAGTTGAACATATGTGTGTTTGGAAGGAATTTGAACAACGGTCATTACCTTTCTTATTCTGGTCAGTTTTACAAGAATGTCAAAGGTGAAAATTCTTGCCTCATGCTGTCGCTATTCACACGTTTTGGTTATTACTTTAACTGTCTTAATAATCTGCATACTTCAACTATTAGTCGTTCTTATGCAATCGATTTTAATCATATGACCACTCATTTTTTATTTTTCAAAATTATTTATTGTGTAACAACCACTTGCTTAATTTTCACTCTTTAATTGTTCCACTAAAAATCTATAAATTATAATCTGATTATATAAGTGAAGATAAATAACTTTTGTGATTTATCATATTATTTGAAGAGAGTGTGATTCTTGAGTATACAAGACTGAGGAAGGTAGAATACTTTTAAAAGAAAAATAAGAAGTTACACTCATTCCTAGGTCAGATAAGAATAAACTGAGTCAAATCTCTAAGGTTTATTTCAATCAATTAACACTGTTGATTAAATATACCTAACCCAATGCTGAAATGTCTTAGAAGGTGTAATAAAGCCTGAAGAATATTGAAAGATCATAACAGCTAGACTAACAGACAAAATTTCAAAAATATATAATTAATAAGGATGCTAACAAAGAAGTAATTTTGAGTAAATGCAAGTCAAAGCGTTTGAAACATATTTGTGGTTGTAAACAGTTAGCTTAAAGGAAGATATTCATATGTGGTTTAATACTGAAAAATACCAAATATTTAAATTCATTTAGACATCTATAAAACACAAAATAATCGAGTAAAGAATATCCTATTCGATAAATTCCTCTTCTGGCTCTACAATTATATATATGTTTATATACACAAAATATTCAAGATTGGTAGTTAATAACAATATTAGTGTTTTTTAAATAATATCGATTTGTAAAGTAAGACCATCTCATCTTGTGGAGACAGAACACAAGATTGACGTCAACCATGCTTTCAGGGTCATTTACCGCATACCTACGAATCCTAATTTTTACCTAAGATTTCGACTACTTAATATTGCTGAGGCTGTGGGGATCAACATTAAAAAGCCTAATTTATGCATCCAAAAGAAGTTCGTTCAGACATTATCATTACCTTGGCCATCCAGGTTTGAATTATCCTGAATTTCTGTGCAATTTCCCTAATTTTAATGGATATTCTATTCACTATTATATCTTTATTACTATTATAATCTAAGTATTTTTAGTGAACCGTAATTTCATTGATCTTACTTTACAAATCGATATTATTTAAAAAACACTAATATTGTTATTAACTACCAATCTTGAATATTTTGTGTATATAAACATATATATAATTGTAGAGCCAGAAGAGGAATATATCGGAAAAGGATATTCTTTGCTCCATTATTTTGTATTTAAATTCAGATATGAAATGCATCCTACTGATGGCATTCCCAGTATTTGAGCTAAGCTATTCATCATCTATATATAAGTTTATGAGTGAATTACAGTTTAAGCATAATTACCGCAGTATATCTGAGTAGTTAACTGCATATGCTAGGTGCCGTAAGCCAATGTATTTCAGCTTGATAAATGCAGAACGTGTGTTATAAAACGAACTATATGACACATTCATATAAACTGTCCTCTTCATTCTACAAACATCCAACAGATTCTCTTTAGTTTATTCACTGAGTCATTTTTCGTTTATAAGGCTCAATAAACGGAAGTTGCTAATATCAAGTGTTGTATGCATTTCTAAGAAATAAATACTTTAAATCGATTGACTGCGAAAAATTTTTTCTTGTTACTTTCCATGATACATTTCTCAGCAGCCCATCCCTAGCATCTGGGAGTGACTCCACACTCGGATACAACTAATCCCTGGACAACTACCTTTCAATACCATTGTAGATATTCATTATTTCTCATATAGTCATTATCATTAGGAAAATAAATCGTATTTGTTTTTCAATATAGCGAAAATACTCATTCAGACATCTATGAAATACAAAATAATTGAGAGAAGAATATCCTTTTCGATAAATTCCAATTCTGACTCTACAATTATATATATGTTTATATACATAGAATATTCTAGAAAAGTAGTCAATAACAATATTAGCGTTTTCTTTAAATAATATCGATTTGTAAAGTAAGATCAGTGGAATTACAGTTCACTAAAGATGCTTAAATAATAATAATAAAGATATAATAGCAAATAGAATATCAACTAAAAATAGGAGAATTCCACAAAAATTGAGGATCATTCGCACTTAGATGGCCAAAGTAAGGACATTGTCTGAACTAGCTTCTTTTGGACGCATAAATTAGACCTCTTAATCTGGATCCCAGCGGCCTCAGGAATATTTAGTAAACGAACTCTTAAGGCGAAATTGAGATTTGTTGGTATGCGGTGAATGACTTTGAAAGCCTCGGTGACATTTTGTATTCTGTATCAACAAGATGAGACAGAGTAGCTCTACGAATAGATTTTGTTTCTCCTTTACTTAACCACGTAGGATGATGTTCGACGAGAAACACGCCTAATTGTGCGGTCTATGTGACTGACTCCACAGGAGCAGTTAGATTGGTAGATACACATAGAAGAGGCGAAATTAGGCAGTTTATCTATTACTCCCGAACGCAAAATAGGTGTGGTTTTGAAGACACAGTGTAATTCAGCAGCAGGGAATACTGTTTTTATCTCACTCCTAAAGCATTGTCTTAGTATCTCGCAGACGTTGTACCTGAGGAACTGAATTTGTAAGAACAGGTGTTTTTAGGAGCTGTTGGTACCTTGGGCTGCCTTGATTTTAAATTCATATTCTTATCAATAAATTTTCCTGGATAATCGTTTTCACTCAGCTATCGTTTAATATTATTAAGTTCCTCATCAAGACATTCATCCGAGCAGATTGCTCTTGCTCTGTGAACCAAGCACTTTATCAGATTGCGTTTGTATTTCAAAGGCACGAAGCTGAATAAATAAGTATACTGACCCGTTGATGTAGGTTTTCTATATATACTTCTTATTGTGCCATCCTCTTTTCTGGTCATAAGGACGTCTAGAAATGAAATACTAGTCTTTTTCCTTCTCAGTAGTAAAATTTAGGTTAAATTTATCCAGGATGTTCTTTGCTTCCTTCTCATTTTTCATAATCAAAAATGTATCATCCGTGTACCGACAATAGAATTCGAGTTCATCAATAACATCTTTCAAAAGCCCATTTTCTAGTTTCGCGAGGAAAATGGCGGCTAGAATGGGTCCTGGTGGCGACTCCATTGCCACACCATCAATTTGTCTATATAGCAGTGGACATTCATTGTGCATTTCAAGAGAAGCTCTTTCATAAAAGATATGGGAATGCTAACATCGATGTTTCATCTTATGAGTTCTTGGGATACAAAGTCCACTGTTTCCATGAATGGCACATTGGTGAATAAGGAAGATACGTCAAATGATATCATGAATTTATTGTCAAGATTTAGATCTTTTATCCTTTCAACAGATCCAAAAGCCAGAAGAGGAAATAACTGAAAAGGATATTCTTTGCTCAATTATTTTGTGTTTTATTTGCTTTTTGCAATATTAACAGAAAGGCGCAGAAAGTCATTGGGTTCTTCGGGTGTCAGATAATTCTTTTAACTGTTTTCCGATATAGAAAATACACCCTTAAAGAAATCAGAAAGAGAAGATAACGAGGAATTGATTAACTCCCCTTTTTCATATCTTGATCGGCATTTATGATGTATATTTTTGTTTCCTAGCAGTTTCTATAGTTTGGTTTTGTAAGGATTAGTTATGTTTTACGGGTTGATCACGGATTGATATCAGTTAGAGAACCATTGAAAACCAGTTATTACTAACGCTAATTCTATGAATACCACATCACTGTTCGTTCATGTTAAGCGAATTGACATATATTCTATCCTATATTAACGTACTTTAGCTCTTGTATAAGAGACGAATGAATAACACTTTCCTTGTGCTGTACTCAATTTATTTGCTACCTACCTTTTATGACTATCTAGTGTTTCCCTTCCCTTCGTTCCGAGTGGAAATATAGGGCTTCAAGCTGTTGAAGTCTCAGTAAAGATGGTATTAATTTTACGGGATGGGATTGCCAGTCGTTTTACTTTGAATCTTTCCTCTTTTTCAAGGCTTACTATCGGACAGTAAACTATGAGAAGCTTAGGAATGTGTGGTTGACCAAGAATCGAACCCGAACCCGTGGTTAGTAAGCATTCTTTTCCTGGACAACCGACGCCTAAGACTAATATACTGTGATAATACACAATTATATTACAAGTATTATTGTGAAAAGCGTTATAAACTAGAAAATAACATGGAAACAATGTACGTAAGACTCTAGAAGAAGATAATACAATACTTCAAATTTCAGAAAGGAGAAAATTCTAGCCTTTTTCCCTAACATTTTCCCCGATGAGCTTAGATGCTTTGAGTTGAATTTCCTTTGAAGTCATAGCTAAACTTTTTTACCAATATTCTCTAAAGTTTACTAATTTAGAATAGTATTCGATCATATACAAAGGCTGATCAGTAAGCTGTAGACAGGTCACTAGTCGTCTTCTTTGAGACTGGTATTAATGTGATCGCTAAACCAGGTCCTAAAATTCTGTATCTTCAGAATGAAAAAAGTCAAATCAAAAAGATTTTTTCTTGAAAAATAGTTGAGTGATTGACTTTTAATTAACAAAAAAGTACCGTGATAAAATATGTTAAATCCCTGTTCGTAACTGACGGTAACCATGGTAATATATAATGAACTGGAAGTGTGTTAGTGAATGGCTTACTACAGTCTGTAAGAAAAGTATAATTGGACACAAAATTGTAGATATGAACAATCACTGAATTTGATCAGTATGTTCATATCTGAGTCAAAAAGCTTTAAAACAAACCGCGTTATACCATGTAAAACTGGTTAATTAACATTGAGGATTAAGACGCATTGAAACACTCTTCAAAACTGCTTACTCCTGTCTTCTGATTAAATTGAACCAAAAGTAAATTAAGAAATAGTATCTGCAATTGTGTACATGCTCTTATGGTTAAAGAATCCTTGAGCAAACAAATAATCTTCACCTTCAATTAACTCAATATGAAACACCACCTGGTTAACATACCTACTTTTATACAAATGAAGTGGAGAACAGCAAAAATATGGTAGTGTTCATGATTTCAAATTTCACTGATTGTAAGTTAGAATAATGCTGCTTCTCAGATCCATAAAATTCTAAGGCCATTAGGAATGAGCTTAACAATGGTTATTTAATTTAAGCATAGAAATAATACGTCGGCGGTTCCGTGATAGAATATTCCCCAACCATACATGTGGTCCGAGTTTCGATCTCTGGCCTATGCACTCCTTAGACTCACATGACTGGTAGTAAGCTTAGGCTAGCGGAAAAATTGCGCACTAGCCTAGCAACACCAACCCACAACAAATAAACACCACTAATACTGAAACTTCAAGTCTCAAGCTTGAAGCCTGATATTTCATTCCAAACGCATAGGATCAAGGTAAAAATAGAAACAGAAGGGGTTGATACATAAATCTGACTTTAGACCAGATATTAAAAGCATTCACCATGGCAATGTGAATACGCAAGAGTTTTAATCATAATACATCAGTATACCCTATAAATGATCAAATTCCAAATACGGAGAGATTATTATTATTACCACTATTATTATACAAACCTATTTCCTGCCCTCTGATTTTTCAGCCAAATAAGTTTTGTACATCTACAATGATAATTTTCGTTTCCCAATATTATTATTACCAAAGGCGGCTTATTTATAATATGTAGTCACAACAACAGACAAAACTTATTCAAACTCACTAATCAATAAAAGCCTGTCAAAACTTACCGACACCATTCAAGTTCATTAGATGTCATTTGATGAGTAATTTGATTGGTAGAGGGTCTTGATTCATCTAAATTAGTGTTTAAAAAATTCCCATCATTATTTGTGCTATTATCGCATGAACTAGGACTACTACTACTACAATGACGTCGACGATTTTCTTGATAGCCAGATGTTTTAGGAATTAATAAGGCAGATCGACGATGATAATGACGCTTGGATTTTGTTGGTAATGCACTGGAATGATAATTTGGTTTTCTACCACGTTTTCTAGACAATAAACAATCCGTTATGCCTCTATGGTAATTTAGTGTCTTTAGGCTTTTATCCTCAATATCACGTTGATGTCTAGATCTATATTTCAGTACTTTAGATGTTGTAGGAATGGGAATATTTACACTATTCAATGTATCATTATGTTTCCCATATTTATGGATTTTTTTCCACCATCCTCGATGTTTTCTATTTCTGCTCTGATTTTGTGGTCCAGTATTGATTTGACTTGATGTTCCAAATATCCCTAAAGCTGTTTCTTCTGATGCATCAAATGTAGTACTGTTACGCGAGTACATTTTGCGTTTCTTAACCTAAAAGGCAATTATTTACAAAAAATTGTTATACAATTATTTTCTTGAATAGCAGAGATATTTCAACATTTATTTGTGCATATTGTTTTCCGGATAACTGTAAAAAGGTATGGGGTTAATATTTGCTTTCAAGTTAACGAAAACTCTTATGAATAGAAATTAGTTTATTTACCAACAGCATTTCTTATATCTTGTGGAAGTAATTGTTACATATAAACACTGATCGTTAAGCAAAACCATACGCTGACTTACTAAGTGGTTACCATTACACTAAGACACAATCTCAAATATTTGAAAAGACACAAGTACGTGTATGTGACCCACTCCACCACAATCAAGAATATCATTGGTGATATTCCTGATCGCGGTGGATTGAATTACGCAACAGACTTAGGATAGAGAGAAGACAGGTACATAATGGATTTATGTCTAGCGTCACGCAAACTCGAACAACTACAGGTAAAAAACAAAAAGTTGGCAGAAGAAGCAGCGAAGCCAGGGTTTCAAGTAAACGAAAAAAGATCCGAAGAAGATACCTAACCCACAACAAAAAACATCAATGCCAGAAATCTAAACGAAGTCACATCCTTCACTTATCTAGGCACCGTCATTACAACTACAGGCGGAACAGATGAGGATATGAAAGTCGGTGTCGGGAAGACAAGTCAAGTATTCATTACTTGGAAATCAGTTTGGAAAAAACTGCTCTCCTCAGCATAAGGAACAAGATTCGTATTTTCAAAAATAATATCAAGTTTGTTCTTCTCTATCGTTCAGAGACTTGGTGCGTACATCACTTAAAGCATATCCAACAGCCTCCTTCAGACCTTCATCAATAGCTACCTATCTTCGCATCATACTGAACATCAGATGGTAAGAAGAGATAAGTAACCAAAATCCTATTGCTCAACAAATATGCCGAAAGAAATAAAGGTGGATTGGGAAATACGCTGACGAAACCTTCAAGTGACATCACACGCCACCTACGGCATCGAGTAAAACTCGAATGCGATATGGAAAACATCGTGTGAGGAGGAAATGAAAGCTCTTGAGCAATTTTAGAACCACCAGCTAAAAAGGACTGTAGAGAACAGAACGGAATGCAGATGTGCCACGGAAGTCCTGTGTTCCATTCAGAAACCAAAGGAATACCAATACTTCTATGAAACACGACCAGCATTTATGCCTATAAATCTTGATAAGCTGTTGAAGTGAAGGAAACATCATACGCAATACTTACTAGACTGTTAGTCAGGCACTGAACCCTGAACATTTTTAATGCTGATTATTTTATAAAATGTAATGACTCCTTCTCATTAATCGAAGGAATTTTCAGACTCCTAATACACATTTAATTTAAAATTGTAGTTTCTGCCTAAGAATGAAAAGTTGATGATTTAGCCTGTGACGAAGTGAATTACTGCTCATATCAACACAGGTAACACACCTTAATGAATCCAGACTTTTGCTTATCACAGTTTGTGTTAAGTTGGCTATGAGATATTAACTATCTACTATTTTTTGTATTATGTTTAAAATATATTTGTCATCTAGCTGTTTTCTGTTTTCCATTCCGTATAAAATTTAAGTCATTTTTTTTATACACTTCCTCTTCATCAGATGAGAAAAATTCAACCAATATTATAAAAGATAAATAATATTGATACTTAGATTTTGATTCAAACAAATAAGGCCACTACTGTAAGAATACAAAGACACGATTTACCTGTCTATCCGTCTATCAGTCCACCTATCTCTCATTTGCTTTATCTATCTATAGATATCTTTCTCTCTCTCATCTTCATCTTTCTTTGTTAACGTACACTCAATATACATTTTTAATACAAACTCGAAATATTTCTTTCTAATTGGTAGTATATAACTGAAAAATTAAATCTGACCGTTATATATATAAGAATAATAGTAATAATAGTAACAATCCAATATATGTATGTATATATACAGTATATGTAAATAAACGTCCTGACTAAATTGATAATCTTTATGGTCGAACACGCTTTTTAATGCTGCCTGGTCGTTTGCTTCAAGGTCACAGCATACTTAGAAGAAAAAAAATTAATAAATTCAACATCAAAAACTGTTTTAACCAGCCTTCTTCCCTATCCATCTAGCTTGACTGTATTATTATATAGGAAGTTAGCAATTTTTGAATGAAAGTTAGACATCGAATTATTGCTTTGGTTTCACATAAAGCTTAAAATTTGTTCTGCAGAAAAATTGATTAACAACATTTTAATATGGTTTAAAAGTAAGATTAAAATAATAGTTTGTAGGTCGATGACATTTTGATATGCAGCTATAGAATGCATGTATTAGGCTAACCAATATCATTTACAATTAATTCCCTTTGTAGGTTCTTGTGAAGCCAAAACGACAAACATTGTTGGATGAATTAAGAGACATATATCCTTGATACAGGTCATATCATCAATTCCAACACGGCTTTCCGAGTGGTAAATAGATAGAGTAATAGTAGATTACTACGATATACGGAAGCAGTACAGCAATCGGACGACTAAAGTCTAGTTTATTCGTGTATAAGTGCTTTGTGGTTCACCTTACATTTGTTCCATTCTCTTACCATCTTTAAACATTGTTCATCTTTCTAATACTTCACTATTCATTATATTTATTGTATATTAACCCTGTTTCTTAGTCTATTTTTCACTGATGTTATTTTGGTTGATAGTGTCTGGCAGAGGAATCTAAGATTTGCCTTTCGTCCTGTTTCAAATTCGTCATCTGGATGTAGTCACATCACCAGTGAGTAGTAAGTGTTTCCAATGATACTAACTTTGCAACCACCGTTTCCAACGCTGAAGTGCTATCCACTAGGCCACTTGGGCCACAACAGCCACCAGGTATCAGTCATTATTTGTTATAGCCAAGCTTGTATCTCTCGTTGACCAAATTCCATCACTGAAGTCTGCACCTACATTCTAATAATGGGTCCTAAATAGGACGAAAGGCTCATCCTGGGCTCCACTGTTACTCATCACCATCATGCTAGTTTTCAGCTACAACAGAAGAGTCCATACGAGGAGCCGTTATGACAAAGGAGACCAGGCATTTTAGTCCAAAATAATTAGTCAGTGGGAAATGTAAATTAGCTTCAAGATAAGTATACTTTACTGGGTTCACAATTATTTCACCTCTATCACATCGTATTTGCCATATATCTTAACTGCTCTCTCTCTCTCTCTGCCACTTTGAATCCTAATCACGCCTTATTAGTATGATGTTGAATTATTTTGTTTTGTCTGGATAGAATTCATAGTATGATTCATCACTCTAACAACATGTACTTTTCTGTGTAATGAGAAGTCAGATCAGCAACTATACATTTTTGTTCTCATTTATATTATTGTCTAGTAGAGATAGAAACTACTTATTTTGTGTTGATTGTACCACTGAACTTAATATAATCAAACTACTTCCATTTGACAATGACATATTAAATTATTCAACTGTACACGAAATTTCAAATTAGTGAGTATGTGGGTGTATTTAGAGTACACGGAATGAAACAGAATTTATGTTATCCTACCACAATGTTTTTTTTCTTCTGATTTACAAAAAGCCAGTACCCTTCCCTTAACATAGAAAACTTAACTACTTCACTAACAGAAAAATACTAAACAAATAAAAGTCATGTATAAATCGTAATACATTTGAAAACCTATGAATGAATCTCAATGACAAGCAAGCCTATACTGTGTATTCTATATGCTGTCGAGCCCGAAATCCAAGTCAGTTATCCACTTAGCTAGTTTTATGCCTCATCTTGGGTGAATGCTGCCGCTTAGGGGATTGACAAAAACCAGCTTCATTTAATCACAGTGATGATTAAAATTAGTTCAATGCATTAAAATGCATTAAAATTAGCACAGATTCATATCCAGTTTGTAGAAATGAATATTTTTGTCAGCTCTAGCTTATCTGCAATTAGGCCAAAAGGTCATTAAAATAAACCTTTCTAGTTATTCTAAATAATCCACAAAATTCATTAGCATGCCTTAAACACAGTTCAATTTAAAACTTAAAAAAATCTAAACGGAAAGTAATAAAATGGCTTTCAAATGAACACAACTTAGACCTGGATACCAATTCATCTCTTCATAAGTTACAATGAAGTTAAAAGAAACATTTCAACAGTTGGGGCTAACTACTCTGATTACAAGACCATGTAACCGTCTTAGTGTCTCTTGTAGTGGATGCCATTGATATATACATAAAATTAGTGAATGGATTGATGTCTTCAGTGAGGTAATGATAATTTCTGTGCCAATGAAAATGCCTCATCAATTTTGTTCTGTTGTTTACGGTGAAGTTGAACTTTAAACACCCAAAAGACGTGAAGGCGCCAATGACTTTGAAAAGTGCAGTTGTACTAAGCAGTAGATTTGATGCCCAAATTAAGCCTAATGTTCCCTTGATTAGCTTAACCTAACTGTAACCTGCTCGTCGCCTAAACTTAGCCCTAATCTTCTCCTAACCTAACCAGATATCCTGTTTACGCTTGATTCAAAACATTTTTTCTCATAAATATAGTGTCACTTACCCGGTTTCAATGCATTACACTAAATGAGCGTTCTAAGGTGATTAGTGTGTTCATTCCAGTTAGGTGTCTAAAGTTGAACTCTCCCCTGTTTACTCTAAATTACATGACATTCTCATTACCCCATAACACCCTAAATTTCCGTTATTCACAAAAATGCATCAGTAAATTCTTTGTTCTGACTTTCTTTGTACTAATAATCAACTCCTTCAGTACACTACTCAGCTCACACTATGCAGGGTTATCTATTCTGATTAATTCACATTACTTTTGATACCGCATAAGGAGAGTTTTTAAACATCTGTAGTTACAGATTAGATTTCTTGTATATTTATATGATAAGGTTTTTTAAGTCATAGCAAGTTATAGTCGAAATTTCAACAAAGCAATAACAACACATGGGGAGAAAGATAAAACGGAACTATTGTTCATTTCACCGATATTTTGTCAACTGCATTCAAAATGAATAATGAAAGTTAACAGTTTTGTTACAATTTCAATATTTTTACGAGTTGATCACGGATTGATATCATTTAGAGAACCATTGGAAACCAGGGAGTACTGAACAACTGTTTCATTCTAGTTTGGGAATCATCGGAGGTATGCACCCATTGCCAGCCAGGGTTCGAACCCACGACCTTCCTGTTACAAGACCAACGAGGTCGTAGACAATTCAGCCACTGGGACCCTATTCAATGTCCAGTCCATGAATTCTAACTTCTAACAATTCGTGATTTAGCGCAATCCCAACCAATTTCGTCGGTGAGTCATGGGCCATTAAATCAGGTCCCAGTGGCTGGATAGTATACAAGCTTGCCTTGTAACCGTAAGGTCGTGGGTCCGAACCCTGGCTGGCAGTGGGTGCGTACTGCCGATAATTCCAAAACTAGGATGAAACAGCTGTCTAATACTCCCTGGTTTTCAATGGTTCCCTAACTGATATCAATCCGTGATCAACTCGTAAAAAAACAAAACTAATCCTTACAAACCAACTATAGACAATTTCAATATACTTCAAATCACTAGAGATAAAATTTCGAAAAATAATACAGAATGGTCACGGTATACGGGAAAATCGAAATGTTAAGTTAGACATAAAAATATTGTTGTACTTATATGTATGATGTAATCAATGTTTCTCGAATAAAACAAAGGTGTAGGGAGTAAGAAGACAGCAACAAAATATTGAGTTACATAAATCATTAGATTACGAAAGCCATGAGAAAACTGTTAATAAACAGATAGTGTATGCATTGTGGATTAAGCTCACTTAATTTTTTGTTTTATTTGAGAAACTTTGAGCAAATCAAAAAATACATAAGTACAATAACACTTTGATAATCTACATTTCGATTCATGTATATGCTTGGATCATTCCTAATGTTGACATTCTATGTCTAATGAACTAAAGTATGTTGAAGATGCAATAAAACTATTAACTTTCATTATTCAGGAAGAATCACAGACGAAATCACATATTGCCCAACTGGTATACATTGAAACGACACACTCTCGATAACACTGGTATCATCCGTCTCAAATTGTCTGTACTCGAAAAGAATATCTCACGAAACTCATGTGCCTTGTATGCATTATCCACTGATGAAAGAACACTGTTCGAGAACTACACAGCTAATGTTACCAAGATGAGAACTGATGATGTCATTATGAAGTCAGAAAAAGTTTAAAACGTGTCATCAAGGAGACAGTTTTTTTTCTTGCCCTGAAATTTAGTTTTTAATTATTCTAATATCCCACTATCATCACTTCAAATACAAATCCTAACATTTGGACTTAAATTTGGTGATGTAACATTTAAAGTGAATGACCTTACCGCTAAAGTCCAATTCTAGAATCCAATTAATCAGATAAATGATGTAGTTTCAGTTAGGGTGATGATATAGACTATTTTAACTGTTTTAAATTAGCCCCTTGATTGCATTTTTTTAAATATACAGCTTTCGTAATTTCATGTCTCAGGAACATCAACATCAGAAAAACAAATTAAAGCATGAAAATTCGATCATGACACACCAGGATGAAGGCTCCGGAATTGTACTACCCAACACATCAGACTATCTTGGTAAAATTTCATTGATCCTACCCAGGGACAAGAAATTTCTAAAAGACGTCTCAAAAAGATCCCACTGAACAGATGCAGTTACAGTTGACAAAGGTATTGGAGAAAATGAAAGATGAATAATTTATTATCACTGAGTTATATAAATGAGTCCGTGCATTCGGTCTTAAACAGCTGCACACATACGGCTTACGCATAAACACCATGTTCCACTCCGTCTAATGATATGATAGATTTTCCATATAGCTCAATTGAAAAAATAATTCTCTGATCAATGTAGGAGAAAGCGTCCAGACACAATATCTGGGATATACTTGATTTTGTCGATTCAACTGATAAAACAACAATCTGGTAGAATAAAGAATGATCTTCTTAGACGTCGTTTCTCTCTTTTCATTAACGTTCCACAATGACAGAAACCACTTACTTTTTCTGTGATTTCACTCAGTTCAACAATATTGATATCGATATACCGAATTCTTGCATGAAATATAATAGAAATTCTTATTTGTCTGCCCTAGTAGAGTAGTTCTCATCACAAATCAACCTAGATGCATGGTCAAATTTTGATAATCCTTGAACTTTTAACTAGTTCCATAGATGATGCATTTTCCTTTTGAAGTGTTGGTTTGCAGGGATCTGATTGATTTCAGCTTTGATCACGAATTAACTTCAGTTAGCGAACCACGGAGTACTGGAAAACCGTTTCGTCCTTTTTCTGGACTCTTCATCAGCACACCCGTGACACTACCAAGGATCAAAACTAATACCTTCAGGTTAAAAAGCAAAATCGTAAACCATTCACAGTCACTGTGACGGAATCCAATCCCCCATCAATTCTAACTTCCACTAATTCACGATATATGCAGAGATTCTAGTGTAAATTGCACTGAATCGTAGTAAACTAAGCTTTGAAGAAATAATTAATGCATAAATAGGTCAATAAAATAAAATAATTCATGCACTACTGCTATGACATGAGTAAGTTCATTTACTAATTTAAGTTTTGAGTACTTCAAATGAGTAATTAAAATAATCTTTATTGTACAATAGGCCATACCCTCTGATTACTGTTTGTATCCGTCTCTTCTATTGCATCTCCATATTCTTTACGTTTTCTGCGAGATTTTTCAACTGATATGTCAGAATTTTCATTATTTGATTTTGAATATTTTAAGAAAATACAATTTGAACAATACCATTTCTTTGGTATACGTACAAATGTTGGCCTAGCACAAGTGTTATGTACAGCTCTTGAACAATGATAACAAATAGCCATTCTTTTAATATTATTGTTTGACGGTGAATGATTATCTGTTGACTGGATAGTGTTATTAACTTCATCACATCCACCACAAATGTAACATAAGCGTTTTGACGTTGCTTTTGAGACACAATCATAACAGAACCAATCACCAGATGGTATGTTTGAGAGTTGTGGTCGAAAACAGTATGTATGATAGCCACGATCACATCCATCGCACAACAATAAACAAGCCTCATTATTATCACGTCGGCATATTTGACAAAGCTAAAATTAAATAGAGAAAATAAAATACCATAGGAGTTAATTTCAGGATAGCACATTATCAGTTTTCTTGTTTCACAAAATTCCCGAAGGAAATAATGATAATGAAATGTAGGAAACTTTAAAATACCTGTTGGCGATATATATATAATTAAAGGAGTGACTAGTGTGGTTCATCAGTTTGAGTGTAAAACTAGATAATAGTTACATTGAATGACTGTGATGCTACATGGATAACTGGCAAACGCTTGAATCCACTATAGTGCTAGATGGGAAAAGGGGTCAAATGACAATGTGAGACAAATCCATGAAATCTCTAACCGTTGACTTTGGCCACGGTAGGAGATTCAGATTTCTTGGCTGGGGTTCTTAGGATACTAACAAACAATGGTTGCAAACTGATGGTTATATGGCCATAAATCGTTCTTAGTGGTATAGATCTATCCACTTCTTGTAATCTTCAAGATTCAACAGTTCCTCATTATTTTTCAATCAATACTTTTCCTCCCGTACATTTTTACTTACTGTAGTTTCACTAGACTTCTTTTCTCTACTCTTATGTGTGCTTTTATGAAGGGCAGTAACCTGAACTGATGCACTCATAAGCACATGTGATCTTTGGTTAGAAATCGAACTGCTCATTCCAGATTTCCAATGTTAACAGTTTACTTTTGCATTGATAACCTGGTCTTCACATATTAGAATCTAAATAACCTGAATAGTAAATCAGCAACGAAGTGAGTGGATAATGTTTCTGTGTATGAGTGTTAATTCAAGCGAGAGGTACAAACTTCAAAAGAGAATCGAAAAACCTTCAAAATAATAGTGAATTGTGTGATTGATCAGTGAATTAAACAAGTAGACTTATAACTGGTAGTTTCATGATACAACCAAATCAGGAGTACGTTGAAAATGTATCCTACATTTATTTTTATTTGTATAAATTGACTTACTACTTTCATAATTGATTTATCCCATGCGATTGCTTGAACTAATTCTTCCATGCAACGACGCACTGTAGTAACATCAAATGCTTGACTTAATTTACTACGCCATCTGATAAGTCCTGGAGGAAGGCTTTTATCATTAGGTGAATTAGATATGAGGTTTAAATCACTTGGTTGGTTAGTAGGAGTTTGTGTCTTATGATTAGTACTGCTATCATTTTCATCATTTAGATCAGGTTGTTTGTTGATAACACGACGGATCTGTGGTAAATGATGTGGTTTAGAGATGTTACTGTCTTCTTCAGATACTCCATTATTAGATACACCTTTGTTAAACTTCGCATCATTACAGTCGTCTTCAGTTTCAATCAAAATATCTACAGATTCTGTGACGCTATCACTTCTATTCGACGAAGAGACAACCTCGTTGGTATCAGCTTCAGGGACAATATCAAGCTGAATTTCAGTGTTAAGCGGTGGGACTAGATAACGACGCTCCAGATGTTGTTCAATATCCAGCAAACGATTACGTGCAAGATCAAGTGGTGAGTATTCGAATCGAGATTTCTTAACTGCCGCTGAACGAGGTATAAGAGAGATGGTTTGATCTTCAGATGTCTTGGTAGGGGGCTGGTTAAATAAAAGTAAAAAAAACTGTTAGCCAAAATTATGACACCACTTCATAGACAAAAGAACTATAAGTATCGCGTGACAGAAGTTTCGCAACGCTCAACATCGTCACTTTGTTAAGCGTTATTCAAAATCCTCACCTAGAAGGACGCTAAGTAACATTATGATAAGTTAATTACATCATCTTATGAACTAACAGATCCTAACTAGATACTATCACAGGCGATCGAAAGATTATTGTTCATAAATTTCCACAACGTAAATTGGAATCTCTCCCTCCTCTGGTTAGTGCATTGGATTACAGCTTAGTTTGAATATTATAGTAATCTGGTTGGCAACACTAGGCAACTCTTCAGACTCATCAGGGAAACGGGTGGGAGAAGGCAAATCATAAGTGAGACTCTTTCTGAGAAAAATGGCTCCTTAATTAGCTCTCAGGATAGACGCCTTGAACGCTGGAAAGAACACTTTGAGGAACAACTTAACTTGCCTACAGCCACACTGAACCTCCCCGACATCCAGCACACACCCGAATGGGATATAGACACTGGTCCGCCGTCTGTGAGGTCACAAAAGCTATCTGTAATTTGAAACTAGGCAAAGCGGCAGGACCCGACGGAATTATTCCGGAGGTGTTTAAATATGGGGGTGACATACTAGTTTGTAGATTAACTATGGTACTAGGCAACGTCTGGGAATCAGAGACGGTTCCATCAGACTGGGGTAAGTCACTTATTATAAAGATATTCAAGAAGGGAAACAAGTCCTCATGTGATAATCATAGGGGGGTCAGCCTAACGAACATAGTTTCTAAAATCCTAGGCTCAGGAATCATGCACAGACTAAGCAGAACTCGGGAGGAACAGACGAGGGAAAATCAAGCAGGCTTTAGACCAGGTAGAGAGTGCATAGATCATATCTTCACTCTTCGACAGATTCTAGAACATAGACACACTTTTCGGCGTCCAACGATTGTCATATTTCTTGACTTGAAGGCGGCCTTCGACTCCGTGGATCGAAAGGTACTATGGCAATGTCTGACTGAATGGAGTGCCAAGAAAGTACTGGACTACGTCAACTCCTAGCTTAGTGATAGGCAGTGGAGTGATAGAACATGTTGACCACTTCACCCATTTGGGAAGTTGTATTAGCACCAACGGACTGATTGGCGATGAAATCTCAGCACGGATCCAAAAAGCTCGAGCTGCTTTCGCTGACTTACACCATCTCTGGCGTAGGCGTGACATCCGGCTATCAACCAAGGGACGTGTGTACTGCTCAGCAGTTCGCTCCGTCCTTCTCTATGGCTCTGAAACATGGCCAATACGAGTTAAATACATGAAAAGGTTGACTGCTTTCGATCATAGATGTCTGCGATCTCTGTCTCACGTTAGGTGGTTTAGTAAGGTAAGTAATGTTGAATTTAGGCGTAGTGTTGGGCAAAGAGGGAAAATCAATCGATGAGGCTATAAAGTTACATAGATTGAGATGGCTAGGTCACGTGCTGCGCATGCCTAACCATCGCCTGCCCTGACAGGCATTACTAGCTAGCTGATATAGGTGCAGGTTGGAAAAGAGTAAGTGGTGGCCAAACAAAAACATAGCATCAATCCATGAAATCCTTGACAGTTAAACTGAGTCAGGTAGGGAGATACAGACTTCCGGGTTGGGGCCCTCGGGACTCTAGGAATCAATGGCTGGAGACAATAGGTGACATGGCTCAAAATCGTTGTCAGTGGCGCAGATGTATTCAGTCTCTGTAATCTTTCATATTCCTTTCTACCATTACCCATTCTGTTTCACTCTTATACTTGTCAAACTCTATTAATTCTCTTCACTCATCTTCTTGTCTATCTCTGTGTGGTATTTGGAACGTGGCAACTCGAACTGGTGCACTTCTGTGCCAAGTTCTATGTTGAATCCAGACAGACAGAATCTGGTTGGCTCAAACACTGATAAGGAGGAATACAATTGATTACACATGGGTACATTTTTCTCTACATCGGAATGAAAAGTTATCAGCAGGATCACATTTTACTTATTAAGCAAATTATCCAATATGTGAACCTGGACCACATTCATGGTTGGCAAGCATTCTACCACTAAATCACAGACGCACAAGTATTACTGTAGATCTACACAATAACCTTAGAGCAGTTGGATAGTTTTGAGACATAATGGGCACTGTCACCCATCATAAAGTCGTTTCATGTTATATAATAAAAAAGATCATTATTGAACAAATTTTTTCATACCTTCCATCCTTTAATCTGTAAATTAGCATACAACACTCTGTCTTCAAGAGCTTCTACTTCATGGAGTAATTGACATTCACCCATAAAAATGCAATGTTTATCAGCGAAAGCATCTTCTTTCTTCCGTCTCTTATCGTCAGCACCTTTGTATTTGAAAGTGGTGACATCAGCCGGATCGAGCGGTGATTTGGCTGGATAATTACAATACATATGACAGGCATCCATAGCACTACGTCTAGAATAAACTGTTAAACCACAGTTTGATTCACTGGAACATTCATCACTAGAACACATGGCATCAGAACAAGGCAGAGTTGAATGAGGACACTCTGTCTCTTTCATGTCATGTGAGTTATTTGTTTCCCACGACGCTGTTGATATAGAACAGTTGGAACCATTTCCAGAGAAACAATCCCAGTTTCGACCTACAATGCGATTATTTACAGATCCTATGCCCCGTTTTCTTCTACGGCGATGTAAACGGATTCGGAAAAGTCGTGCATTCAACTTGGCAATAGGTATGTGTTTATCAAAATTGTATTCAGAATCTGGAAAAAAGTAACTTTATTCTTTAGAATTGTTAACAATAACTAGTATTTCAAAATAGATAAATTCAACACTTATTATACAACGATAAATCGCATGAATGTAAGCGAAGTGAGTGATTAGAGAGAAAAAACAAGAAGCTAAACAAAAATATCTTTCCGACCATTTCAACCCCACCTGATGTTAGTTACTAACTAGTTTCCAGTCAAAGAATCCATTAGAATCCTATAGGAATTCAATCAAGAGCCCTAATAGCTCAGTGGTAACGTCTCTCATTGCACCACTGGGTGACCCAGTTCCGAATGTCAGAGGAGTTATGAGTCCCTTCAAGACTGTAAATACACCTTGCTGACGAGGGCCAACAAGCACGAAACGTAGGTCCAAGGCTTCTCATAGGCCGTCTCCAACCGTCTAACTACAACTCATAGCGCACCGTGATGATGAGACGCCTAGCATGGCGGTTGCATTACAGACTTGACTGATAGAATTCAGTCTGCACCAAAGAAACGACTAGATGGGTGACATTAATTACTCAGTAATGTCCAATCAAAGTTACTATCCCCTCATTGAACTAAACAATAATTGTAACTATATCAGCTTACATATACAAATGACATTACATAGCTTTTGAGGAAGGAAACACCGAAAAGATAACTCGGGTGGGCTTTTTATTTTTTCTCACTAACGTCCCGATGCGTATTTTCCACGATTTGAAATCGAGGATGGAGGATTCAAAAAAGGATTTGGAAAACGCCATATTGCAAAGCTATCATAACTTTTCATTGTTATCAGTGTTATGACAAATATCTAATCAGATAAAGGTTACAAATCAAATAACGTTTCTCTCTAATGTATCACAGAAATTACACTAGGTTGAAATAAAACAAAGATCAAGAACTGTATTCTTATGACATGGTTGGCAGGATTTAGCTACTAATTAAGAAACATTTGCCACTAATCTTCACATAGATATACTAAGAAATATGATTTTTTTAAAATTTTTGATTTACAGCTTGATTCCACACTGTATTTTTGGTACAAGTATGGAATTTTCAGCATGCATATATATATATATATATACTTTTTCTGTAGCAGTAAAGTACAGAATTATTTTTTGCCTGAAAACGGTAATAAAAGGTTTGACATATGTAAACAAATTTTCAGTGTAGCATAGCAACAAAACATAGACATTGCAAAAGTAATAAATATAAGTGGGACACAAGCTTTAATTAACAAAGGTATTGTTTGTAGCATCACTAACGGACCAAAGATTCATTGAGAAAGCAGAAATAAGGTTATGTGCCAACTGTGAATTTAAAGTAATCACGGTAGCTGGGACATACATGATAACAGGAGCTAGGCAACCGCATTATTTAGAATCTAACCACAAAAGAGATAAAGGTAGCTAAAGTCAGATGTGGTGTTGTTCACCTAAGCTATTTGTTGACAAATTCATTTTCTCATGTGTCACCACCATACAGTTAACTGGTACGAAACCTATACTGAATTCCTTATTTTATCCGTAAAATAAGTGTGTACCAGATCCTACGCATGTGATATTTGACGAGAAACTAGTTATATTAATCGAGAATAGTATGTTGCACTATATATATATATATATATATATATATATATATATATATATATGCATTATATTAGATTGAATGTAGCCAGTAATGTAATCCAAGGTGTGTGTTTCACTCTATGTGGAACTCATCAGATGGATGCACCAGTATTTCTATTGAGTGATAGTATTCCCACTGAGACCTGAAACGACTCAGTAAATCGTTATCCCCTAGGCCACGTAGGAGCCCCACATATCAACAAACACAGAACACTGTTGTACAAAGTCCAAAATAATAATCTGAATATTCGTATATTAACTTAAAACTGTAAAAAGTCAAATAATCTTTAGGTAAAGCTAAGTAAGAAACGCAATATATCTAGATGAGCAATATATACTTTCAGTGATACTATTCCGTGTTTTGAAGTATACCAAGTTTGTCGCAGTTTCTAATACCAGCTTTCCGACAGTTGTACATACTGTTCATATTATAACAGTTCAACTTAAACCTTGATACCAGTCGAGATTTTCCTTCCCCATTAAATTAAACTGAACATTCCAAAATTAACATAAACATCAGATTTAAAAGTGGAATTCAAAACTTACTTTGTTTTAGAGCTAACTGCATGGATAACTCGATAAAATCCTTTGAACGTCGAATACACTTGCCTAACTGTTTCTCTCGAACTCCACGTAATGTAAGAGCATTTAAAAACTCTTTTAATTTGTTTCTATCCACTAACTGAAACCAGGTAGATTCGCTTTTCGATTTAATACATGATAAGTCTTCTGTAACAGTTTGAATTCTTCTCACTTCTAATTCTTTATTCACGTAATCCGATGTATCTATATCAGGAAGTGAATCACCTGTTGGTGAATGAATATTTTCCCCATCACTGGTTATCTTCTCAGTGTTATCCGCCGGTTCATTTTTTATTTCATCTGGAATTAAACGTTTTATTTTCATTACAGCTTCTGTAAGTGGTGAATTCAAATATGCTGTTTGATCTGAATTTTTATTTTTAGCACATTCTAATTCATCAGAAAGGGCAGAACTAAGCAGTAGTTTACAATAATTCATTACATATATCCACGTATCAGAACAAATTTGATTATTAACTGTGGCTGGCATTATTCCTGTGTAGTTCATAAATAAAATTATGCTTTTGGTCAGTGTTGAATCATCAAGTTCACCAGGCAGGCATGTATGATTAATTTCAGTGATGAACTGTGTTTCTGTATTTATAGATTCACTTGTAAGCTGTTTTGAGCGAAAAGATTTGTTTGATAGGTCTAAAGGCTGAGTTGAAGACAATGCTTTATCTTCAACTGTAAAATTAACCAATCCTTTAGGATTTCCATACTGATCTTCTTCACTCACTTTTTGATGACTAATGGTATTGCCGACTAGCAGTTCAGAACTATAGACCATTTCTTGTTCTTGTTGATGTTTAATGCTTGGTTTGGCATCGCAGACACTTTTAGATTTCATATCAGTTACACTTTCGACGTTGTATTTAACTGTTGGTATTTTAGCTCCAAGCTCTTTTTCACCTTTGGTATTATCTATTTTATTTGCTTCAGTGATGTCTTCTGACGAATTACTAATAACTTCCGTAGATAATACAGGTTTAATGTCAGACTCTTGATTTTCTTGATCATTACTTTTCATAGCACTGACATTTTGTAATCCACACTCATAACTCGATTCCAAGTGCTCATCATTTTCATTTATAGGGCTTACAGTTGATTGAAAGTTGGCATCATTCTGATGCAAAACATCACAGGCTTCCTGTGCTGCAGGAAATTTAGCTTGAATAATGTCTGGATCTTCTTTATTAGGTAACGATTTTTCGACTTCACTGTCGATTGTCCGAATTTCTGAAGTAACACTGGTAAAGTAATCATTAGATGACAAACATGGAGAGATTGATGAATCGTCTTGAGTTGTATTTTTCGTGCTATTATCACATTCATTAGAAGGTTTCACTACATTCTTCACATCAAACATAACCTCGTCAGTGTTGTTCAAAGATTCAGCATTAACTTCTTTATCTTCACTTTCTGATTCACTTGCACTTTTTGAATTATCACAATCTGTTATTTGTGCATGCTTCAAGACTGTTTCAGAATTGCTATCAGATTGTTCAATCTCATGCGAGTTATTTGTACATGATTTTTCAGTTTGCTGTACATTTTCTACATTTAACGAAGATCTATTTGCACACTGAAGGCTATGAGCTTGTGAATATTGGTGTGTACTAGTTATACAGCCAGTTAATTTCAGCTGATGCTGTTGAGCAGCAAGTGCATGTCGTGCTTTAATCTGACCTACAATATAATCAGGATGAGAGTCAGGAAGATCACTCCAATTGTCTTCTACAAAATTTTCATCCATCTTAGTTTGTAACGAATTAGAATAACATTCACTTCCTGACTGGATCCTACCGAATGGTTCACATTCAATATAAATACCACCCATATGTTTCAAAGAATAATAATTACGATAGTATCTATCTTGACCAAGAAAAAGACCAGACAATCTAGTAGAAGCTTCATCGACTTCTTTTTGTTTCTGTTCCAACATGCTTATCAGTGTTTCAAGCTTAGCCTCAAGTTCACTTATTTTGCAGCACATATCATCTTCATCCTCGATAAGTACACCAGATGCTACAATTGGAGGTGTTGAAAAAGGAACTGAAATGTTGGACTTTATTGATGAAATTTTCTCACAAGTAGGTTGTTCTGTTAATGTGCCTTCATTCATAGATACTTTTGAATCAGTATTCGAATGAATGGCTACCTCATCATCTAAATCAATTTGTTTCATTGTAGCGTCATGTTTTTGAATTTTCTGATCTGCACCAACTGATTCAACTTCTGGACTACATCTAGTTGGTGGTTTAGGAAAATATTTCAGAGATGCTTGGCCGATTTCTGAGTAACTTGTCTGGGTGGGCTTCATCCCACCATATGAATCAGATGATATTGAATTAGACTTTCCTACTCCTCCTCTTTCATATTCTAATGTTGAAGTCCCAGGAGTTATTGATTTTTGAGCAATTAATAAACGCAATCTAAAATCAAAGCAGAATAATAATTCAGTTTAAATGCTACTGAGTTTGATAGCTGCCAGTAAAATGAAAAAGCAATCTGAGGAATCGTAGGCTTGAAAATGATTTTCATAATTTGCAGACATTATAAAGTGAATGTCCGTTTCGATTCCGAATCTAAGAATATAAGCTAGCTGTCAAAAGACACGACATATATTCTTTCATATCGATGCATGCACACAACTATGTACATCGATTTGACTAGGAAAATGTAGAAATTTCAAACAATCGAAACAGCAAAATTCTCAGAGAATTCCTAGATGTCCGGTACTCAGAAGAATCAATGATTAACAGACACACTATTATAAATCAAATTTACCAACTAATAAAGAATACGCCATATGATAAAAAAGTCAAAATCTAAGTCAATAAAAACGATAAATACTGATGAAAATTAGAAACTGGTCGCGACAAAGCATATCAAGAGATACAATTATATCACTCATGGAGGAAGAACTCAAATAAATTCATCTCATATTAAAGTCTAAGCTGAAAATGTTGTCTAGATGGACAATGAAAGCTTCACAATTAAGTCAGCCAGTTCAGAAAAGGCAACAACATCAAACTAACCCACCTGATGCGACCATGTAAAGCAAAATATAATGAATAAATGTTTTGTTCTATACCGAAACATACCCAATGTAAAAACATGTAATCTTCTATAGTGTAGTATGACAACACTTCATGGAACACGCAATATATCTAGTTCATTCGCGTGAAATACCGTGCCTCATAATCAATAACCCCTTTTAATTTATCACGTTTCACTAATCATTGACAGTATCAATGCTCCATATTTGGGAGTTTTTGTAGGTCATCAATTATATAGAGTTAGAATAAGATATGGGGAATTTTCTATTAATTGTTATATCCATCTCTTACACTTTGTTTAAAATCACAGTAATAATAATTGTCTGATTCCACTCATTATTAAACAAACCTGATTTATGTGTCCAAAAAGAATCTGTTGTTGGACTTCAATCACCCTGGTGACTCACCTCTTAGTAACTCTTTGTTTTCTAATATTGTTAATTTTGTTAACTTATCTTTTTACTCCGCCCCTCCCTTTTTTCGCTTTACTCTCTTGTGAGATAATTTTTCTTGGTCTTCTGAGCTCTGCTCACTGTATCACATCATCAACTTCTCATCTGACCTCATGTGCACTGAAATTTCAAATTTCGATCTTCCCTTATCCAATTACGTAACTGTTGCTAAATTCCTTTTGTGACCACCTCAACAACACAACTGTTAATTTTTTTCAAGAAACTTCTCTCTGCCAAGATATATATATGTCGTAACACTTTAGACACCCTGTAAATCTCAACGCCTTATTTTACTATGACGCTCTGACAGTATGCTTGCTAATGGACAAAGGTTTGTTAAAATTGTGCACTTTTTATTGTTATTAAACAAAAATCAGGTTGTACGCAGCTGATGAGAACCAACGAAATAAAATGGATCCAGATTATTCTGCGCCAATGTTTCTTCTTTCTTTGTTCACATTATTAAACAGTACAGTAATTTGATCCTATTAATAAATTTTTTTCATTCGTTTCAGTTTCGAGTGCAACACGGGGCTTCAATTTCGAGGTTTCAGTAGTGGTGGTGCTTTTTGGTAGCCTCATGCCCAACCTTCCCTCTAAACCAGTGGCTGAGAATCACACCCGACCACGTGCTTGTTCGGCAAACATTCTACCATTGAACCAACAACGCGTTGATTCATCTAGTAGTCATAAATTCATAACTACCAGGATGGTCATTTTCATAAGGATCCTTGAGTCTGTCAATCGTCAAAAACATGCCTTTACATTATTCAAGCGGCTCATAGTTCGCTTTGTATATTAGTAATGAAAACAATCCCCTCTCCAAATTACTGCACACTTAATTGTAAAGGCTCAAAACCCATATCACAGTTCCCATAGAAGTATGAGAACACAATGTCTGGTCAAAATAATCAAACTATTTGACTTTATTCCCATATCGAATGTACTGAATATCATATCCTGTGCCAATTATCTTGGGTGGCCGGAATTCAGTGACCCGTAAATTCTAGTTTTATCAATTTCTGATATAGTGCTGCAGTCAAACAATGTCTTCGGTGAGCATCCACTGCATCCTAATATGGTAAACCCCATTGTCACGACTTCTCAATATAACTTGAGGATATTCAGCCTACGGCCACCAATGAACTAGAGATTGACTTTTAGATTATGGGTTTTTGTAGTGATTTGAACTAGTTTCAATGTAGATTTCGGGTAGTACTATATCACGAATTGACAAATTCAGAATGCACAGATCATTGAATTCCAATCAAAAGGCTGAATGGTTTACGAGGTTGGTCTCGTAACTTTAAAGCCCCGGGTTCAATCCCTTGTGGGGTCGTGGGTGTGCACTATTGAACAGTCTCAAACTGTGACGAAACAGCTATCCAGTGTTCCCTTGTTTTCAAAGGTCTCTAAATGACATTGGTTCATGACGACTTCTACACTAAAAATTATTTTCATGGTCAGTGAAGGTCATCAGAGGAATGTATTGCCAGGTAACCACTCCCAAATGTTAGGATGAAATAATAACTATTTAACTTAGTTCACTGACACATGGATTTCAGACATCCCTAAATGTATATAAACTGTATTTACGTCATAGGGACAAGCTATGTAGGCTAAAGGACCCTGTTGACCTAATTAGACAAAGTAATATAATTTACAAAATTATATTTACAAAATACCTTGAAATGACTGTGAGGTCAACTACATAGGTCAAAGTAGTAAATCGCGGGTAGTCAGATTGTCAGAACATAAGAATTTAGCTAAGGTTAGAATCATTCAACCCGCGTAGACAAATAATTTAGATAAAAGCTCACCAATTATACTGTATGCATCAAAACACAACCACACAATAGGATGGGAGAGTAAAATTGCTAAAAAGTAATGTAGGTAGATGGAAAGATAGAGGTTGATTACTGAATCTTTGTTCATAAAATCTACACCCAACACGTGCAATAGAAATGACTCACACTGGAAATATGGAAAATATTAATACCAATCAAATCAAGAGGTGAGAAATAATGGAACCATGTACAGCCTAGTTGATGACTTCGTCGGAAAGAAAATTTTCTTCTATAGTTGGTTTGTAAGGAATAGTTTCTTTTTTTAACTAGTTGATCACAGATTGATATCAGTTAGAGAAACAATGAAAACTAGGATTTGAACCCAGGACCTTCCCGTTACAAGGAAGCAAGCTCGTATACCATTCAGCCACTGGGACCCGATTCAGTGGCCAGCCCATGAATTCTAACTTCTACCAATTCGTGATTTAGTGCGACTGGTACCAACCAATGTCATCGGTGGGACATTCATCCTCACACTTGACTGGTTGGACCTTACTGTGAGGATGGATTTCCCACCGATGACATTGGTTGGTGTCAGTCGCGTTAAATCACGAATTGTTAGAAGTTAGAATTCATGTGCTGGCCACTGAATCGGGTTCCAGTGGCTGAATTGTCTACGACCTCGTTGGCCTTGTAACCAGAAGGTCCTGGGTTCGAACCCTGGCGGTGGGTGCGTACTACCGATGATTCCCAAACTAGAATGAAACAGCTGTTCAGTACTCCCTGGTTTCCAATGGTTCTCTAACTGATATCAGTCCCTGATCAACTCGTAAAATTTTCTTTGCTGTAACCGTCTTTTTAATAATTCCCAGGAACCATATAAACGAAGTTGGAAGGTTGTGTGACCACCTTGATATGATTATGAGCAGTAAATTGTGCTCGAAATGTCATCAGTAAATATTACTGTAAAACACTGTGGGACCTTGATGGTATTAGACGGTCGGAGGCAATCGGCAGGAAGCCTTGGACCTAGGTTTCGTGCTAGTTGGTACTCGTCAGCAAGACGTATATGCAACCTTGAAGGAACTCATGTCCCTTCTGAGATTCGAACCCGCTGCAGTCAGAGACGTTACCACTGAGCTATTCGGGCCCTGCCGATTGCCTCCAACCGTCTAATACCATCAAATCAATGTGCACCATGATGGCAAGCTAGCTAGAATGGTGGTCACATTACAACCTGACTGATAGAATTCAGTCTACACCAATCAGAGGACTAGACGCATCACACTAGTTACTAGTGTCAAATCAAAATTCTGTGGGACCTTATCAAAATAAATTTTATACTCTACCACAGTGCACAAGTTTTATCTTTATATTCGTAACAGATACAACTTAGCCTACGTATATTTCTAACTGATATCTTATAGAAAAGAACAGAATTGTTTCCATTAAACTAGGGAATAGTAATGACAGCAAGATTTTCATAACAATCAAGTTCTTTTTTTAAAATACTTATTATACCTTCGTATTCTTGACTCAATGGTCAACTTTTCTCGTTTCAACAATAATTGTTGTTCAATATTCCTGTCAACTTCTGTAGATATAAGACGACTTGAACAGATCAATTCATCACAGATGAAAGCTAACAAAGCAGCCTGACGATCACCTGGTAGCTGGATAAACTGTGTCGGTGGATGTAACCAATTAGACATATCATCTTCATAACCATTCCGTCCAATGATAAATGCTCGAAGAACACCACTGACATTGTGCTCATCTAATTCAGTCTCATTTAATCTCTGACCAAGTAATTGGGTAACCTGTATACACAATGAAAAATGAAGATGAACTCAAGAAATATTTGAGAGTGCAATAAAATATGCATTAATACTTGTTGATATTTTTTTATTAACCGACAAATATACCAAGTTCTCTTGGAAATTTTATAGTTTAAAACTGTTTATCAGTCTGGTCAAGTGGCAGCTCATGGAATGCAGTCACAACAAAAGAAATAGATCTTATGGAGGATTTAATCATAAGCTGACATCAGTTAGAGAACCACTGGAAAACCTGGGAGTACTGGACAGCTGTGTGAACTGAAACTAATTCTATGAAGCACTCGTAACTTGTAGTTTTACGCATAAAGATCAAATTAGCAATGAACGCCAACACATTATGCAAAGTATCTTTGGAAATCTCAACTTCTTTTCCTGTAGTACAATTACATTAAATATTGTGTCTATAACTGCTGAAGTCTTAAGAAATCTATAACTTGAATTCTATTTTACAATGCAGTATGTCAAGCAATCCATTTATCGACAGCATAACTAACTGATATATGATTTTCAAACAGAATATGTAGCTAAACCATTGTGATATAAAATGACTTAATAACTATTGCCTACTTAACTAATTCGAAAGCATTTTATACACATAACTTCATGTTTTTGAGTCTTACCTTTGATATACTTTAACACCATAAAACCATTCTGTTTATTGATGATACTCAGAGTTCAATTGGTCACTCGAAAACTACTACGCATTCGAAGTACATATACTAAATTATTCAAGTTTTATATATTGTTATTGAACACTTGAAAAGATTATCTCTATCATAGATTACTAAAACAGAGTCCTCTATTTGTTGACATTTTTCTAATGGTGACCTGGTATTTATAATAATAAGTGGTCATGTTCGATAATAATATGCGAAATCAAATGAATGTAAGAAGTAAATTAAATGAAGGTATTTCATGTAAATTATTTATTGATTTTTGTGAATATAGCTATTCTACCAAAATTCACACTTACTCGAGGTTCATTCAACTTAAACCAATCAGAAACCATATGCGAAAAAAAACCCTAAATACCAGTTAATATTTTATTTCGGATACAGATAAAAACTTATATTGAAAGTTTAGGTGACCACTACGCTTTTTCAATCATTTCTATCTATCCGTTATCTGCTGAACAGTTATATCTTAGGTGTACATTGATATTGGTAGCGATGGGGATGGGGGTTCCTAAACTAGAACTAGGTCGATCCATGTTAACAGGAATCATTTATAATTTTATACAAGCCTCCTGATGGCTTTAGACTTTTTGTACACATATTTGAGACCCTGAACTAAGCGAAAAATTGACTTGACCTACTAGTACCATAAGTTTTTCCTCCTGTTCATGGAATGCAGTCTTAAAAATTACCACCACTGAAGTATAATCATCTACCAGTTTTCACATACGTGTGAAAGAACACGCACTGAAAGAAAAGAGATGAGTGTTAGTGCCCACATTTCCGAATACATCACCCAGAACCTGAGACTAGAGAGTTCATAATCATTAGACATTGCAATTGGACGCCATCTGTAGGACACTGGTCATATTGTAGGCAGCCTAAATTCATTCAAAATAATCAAAAGGCCAGTGAAACACGGCTTGCAACGTTTGCTGAGGCAATCACCATCAAACAATTAAAACTAAATCTGTGTGTGCAGTAAAAGGCAGTAGTGAACCTTGCACTAACTTAGTGATTAAACTTATAAAACAAATTATACAGTTTTGATTGCATCATGCATCCAGCTTTATTCCCTGTTCTGTAGAGAAAAATTTATTGTTTCATCTGAACAACACTCAATTTACTCCTTTTTTGATATTTTATAAATACAAATTTTCTTTTAGTAACTAACCTACTGTACTGATATATACTCCTCCTAGTTAAACTTTGTTTCTATTCTAAAAATTCCAACTCTGTCCTTCCTGAAAAATATTCGTCTAATTAACTCGTAATAATTTAACAACTTATATCATGCTTAAATCTGTTGTCTGATTTATATTTTTGTATTGTTCAAGTTGTGGCCATCTGAGAAGAAACTGCGAAAGAATGAGTTCATATTATCCTGGTACACTTGTCTCTCCTGCTTTGCTGAGGTGTAATCAATTGACATCTTCAGCATCATATATATGTCTTTCAAGTTGCTCCAATTTAATGGATAGATGATTATTTTATCACATCAAATGTACATATAAATATTATATTATTATAATCAGTATTACAAACTTACTAGTCGCGAATTAGGCAATCCAGGATCACAAATAGCAAGTCTCAACAGTTCAATTAACAAATGAACAAGAACTCGTTGACATTGAATATCACGATCAATAAGTGCAGACTGTAATTCTCCTAAGTTTGGTATTGCCTCTGTATCTATAATATTTAGGAAACAAGCCTTATTGATTATCATGTATACACACACTGTGACCAGATAACGATTATTCAGAATGACAACAAAATCTTAACACACACCACCATTCAGTTATATAAATTTTTGAATGAAATATTCAAAAGCTTACTTGCCTTGGTAACTGGATCTTTTTACTGTCTCCTTCATTTGACTACGTAACCTTTGACTTTAACCTCACCCCCTCCTTTAGATGCAATTTTTTGTTTGTGTAATTTTGCTTATCTCTTGTTTCTATGACTTCAGTTGAACTCAGTACCTTGTTACCAAATTTATGAGTGCCTCATCATCTCACGTATCTCTCGTCTTTGTTACGTAACTCTTTTACCGTTGTATGCATACATTTACTTTGTTTAAACTTGAACTCCCTCTGTAAGGCTATATAAGCGTACTTTTCCGAGTACTGTTCACTAAGTCCAGAACCTTCTCTCAACTGACATCTTGTAAAATTTGCAAGTATGTTAAAACTTTTCTGTACATAAACTTTGTGATTTATTTAGGGTGTAAGCAGGTGATGAGAAGCCAACGAAACAAATGATGGTACCATACTATTCGGCAAAAACTGTCGTTTTTGCACCGAAAATTTAATGCAGACATTGCTTAGATAGTGTTTTCATATATTCTCGCGGTCTGTTCAAACAACTGAGTTGCTTGAATTTCCATCAAGAAAAGTTAATCTTATTTCCTCCGTTTCTTGTTGTTTTAATCTTCCAATTATGTCTTTGGATTTTAAAACATAGACACTAGCAATTTTTTTCTTAATTGGCATCCAAGCTAACCCCGTGTACTTCAAGAAGAATATGAAGCTAAAATATAATAGAGGCCTGAACCTTATTTCAGATAGAATGATATTGTGTTATACGATGTACTGTCGATGAATATTTTACTTGAAGATTCCATGAGGAAGTAAATATTTTGCAAGAAATTAGTTGAAGATACTTTTTAAGTAGCCTCACTAATTGGTTATCTCTCCCGTTCAATTCACCTGTTGGTTAATGGAGTACAGCTATTTTAATGCCATATCTATGTGTACAAAAGAAGTATGTGCATATTTAAACTTTATCTTTAAACAAAGAAGCGAGGGATAAGACATTCATTTATTGCCTTGTTTACTTATTTTTACTCTGCTTTCTGCTACAGCTTGATCTCACACCGTATTTTTGCTACAAGTATGGAATTCTGAGCATGTGATATCGGTAACTCAGGTGTGCGTCGGCAGGGAATCGAACCCCGCACCATGTGCATGGTCAGCGAGAGTCCTAACCACTGTGGCACCGACGTACTCCATGAGTGTCTCTAGCTTGAGCTTCCAAGTTTCAGTAGTTGAGGTGTTCCTTTTTACGGGTGAAGTTGCTAAACTTACACCTAACCTTCTCACTTTACTGACCTTACTACCGACTAATTGAAGTTACAGAGTGAGACAGTCGGGGACCGGACTCCGAACCCCGTGGGTGGTTTGCGAGTGTTCTACCACTGAGCCACGGACACAGCCGTTTAATCTGTGTACTTTTCCCTTATTATTATTATTATTTTCAATTTAAAAAGTTTCTGCTATTATTTCACTTGTTCTATTTGTTATTTTAATTCAGTATATTTATTCCAATCTTAAACTAGATTTAATCAATCTTTTCACCTTGTTACGTAATGTTTCTTTCTATTTGCCCACTAATCCTATTTTGATTCTATTAACTTCACACCTTTTTTCAAGATATATATTTATATATAGTTATTCCATGAACTATTTTATTCGTTACATAAGCTGGTTTATCGACTGATACTGAAATATGATTATAATCACAAATATCTCGTCCTAATTCACATTATTATTATAAGTATTCGTATCTTTTGTTTCAATTTCTTAAAAATGGTGTCTACATGCAGTTGTGCGGCTTGATAATATATTCCTTGAAAAGTCTCTTCACTGCATAATAACATGTCCCTTAATACAGTGTATGATAGTAATTTAATAATATGAACCAATTGGACATTGATAACGAATAACCAGCATTTCAATAAGTCAAGTAGTTAAAGGGCAGGTTAAAGTTGAAATCTGTTATTTTCTACCCACATAGCTTAGAATGAACGTGTGATTAATCCTAAGTGTTCGGATTACCTTTAATAACCTTGAATTAGATAGAGTTAGGTGAAATAATTGAGAAAATGTCTCTAATATTGATTTTCTGACCGACCAGTCATTCATAAATGTTTCTCAATGGATGACACTAGACTAGACTTTTATTTAGACTAATTGGATTCGGATTTTTTACATGACTTAGAAACGACTTAGGAACATGATCTTTCCAACTATATTGAGACATTCTATTGGTCACAGCAACTGCAGGTGTTCTTGTAATGACAATGTGAACCGCAGTCCTTAGGTCTTCATTCTTTATCCGTGATCATAAGATAGGAAAACTTTTCAAGAGGTTAGGAATTGAGATGCGTCGTAGAATGCGCGTTTGATAATGACAAAAATCTTTGACCTGTCAGTTGAACGATTTCGGAACCCTTAAATTTTATTTCGATTACGATAGCTTCCTTTGCTACAGAGGTTGTTTTGTCATGGAGTAGTGAAATGGAGAGCTGAGATCTTTCCCTTGGATCACAAACATTGTTTATGATAAAGCCATTATTATCTTTCTTTAGGTCACGTGTTAGCTTGCAAAATTGAATGCATGCATTGTAGTTCATTGATTACTTTGTCACTTGTATGAATTTTAAGGGCCCTTGAAAAAAGCTCTTCCTTCTTGTAGTGAACTGAAGTTCAATTTGTGCAACAGAAATAATAAACAGAAGGGAGTAAAAATTGTATACTGTAAGTTAGGAAGGGGTGTAGATACACTGATATGTTTATGAGTAATAAATGTGTACTTAAAACGTCATCTAGTTATTTGGTACTGGAGCACTGTATGTTATATTGCGGAGTGTGCTACTGATAAGATCTATCAGTAGTATGTAAAAATATTAAATAACGGAGAGATAAATTTGACGCTAAGGAGAGCTAATGAACCATTGTTACGGTAAAACATGGAGAGACGAAAAGAAGACAAAGAAACATATTACGAAGGGCAGAAGTAGCACAGCACGGAAGATCTGTGCAAAGGACGATTTTCAGATAAGGTGTAATCATTATCAATGGGAGAATTCTAAACGAAGTCACTTCTTTGACTTATCTACGCAGCACCGTCTCAGCTTTACACAGGAAGGATATATGAGGATGTCAAAGCCAACCGGAATCGAAAAAGTAAAAAAACCTTCATCACTCTGAAATCAGTGTGTAGATCTGTTGCATTATTGATACAAGGGGGATAATTCTATTATACACAAAATTTTATTTTGATAAAATTGTGTGATTTCATCAAAATAAAATTTTATCCATAATGGAGTTAAATCTGCTGCAGTCAGTATAAGGAATGAGATCACGACCTCGAATACTAATGTCGTCATTTAGTTCTACTTGGTTCAGAGGTTTGGTGTATCATGTAAAGCATTTCCAACAGGCTACTGCACACTTTCGTCAACAGTTATCTTTGTTGGCTCCATACTGATGATCAGATGACCAGAAAGAATGATAAATAAAGAAATCAGGCAGACTACGAACCAACCAAGAACCTATCGCCCAACAGATTAGCAGAAAGAAATGGAGGTGGGTTGAATATATGTTGAGGAGACCACTAAGAGACATCACCAACCTGAATGGGAGCCGATGGACGAGTTGGGCTACCGTAGGTGACATGGAGAAAATTGTGTGAGGAGGTAATGAAAACTTAAAGACAATCATGGATGGAGCCAGATAAAAAAAGAAAAGACTACAGAAGTGGGATGAAATAGAGATGCATCGCTGAAGCCTTAAGTTCCCACTCGGAACTCAAGGGAATAATAACATTACTAATAGTCACTTAAGTGTTTGCAGTTCGAAATAATAAAAAAATTAACACTATCTATCATAAATTAACTGTTAAAACCAAAGTTGAACATATGTACGTACGCTAAAAACAAATATTGAATCGTTATTTTTCAAAATTCTTTTCTTTTTGCTTTTTTCTTCCTTAGTAAGTTGGCTATCATTACAGCTATTTGTTCTACACTGTATATAGTCTTACATATTTGCCTATCCTAGGGCTGATTTTTGAAATTTTTTACAACACTAATATAGGGAGTTTTTCTTCTTAAATTCTCCACATCCACTTTTTTTCCCTCTTCGCTACACGTTCAGTGTAGAATGCATTAGCAGTTGTATTGTAAACTAACAAGGCATTGCTTATTCACGTATTTTTATGTGGATATATATATGTGAATTCTTTGAAAAGTATCTCACTTCATTTTGAGATAGAAGAAAAGTATGAAGGAAAAAATTGTCATGCACATACACATACACACATTAACCGAGAAAATAAGAGAGGGAAAGAGACAAAAAAAAGCATAAAACTGTCCCCATTTTTGATTTTACGATAATCATTTGTTTATTTATTCATTTCTATCTAATTCATTCATTCATTCCCTCACTCACTCACAATCTATAGTACTACTGCTATCACTATACATGTGCAAGCCTGGTTACACATTTACACAAACACATACACATACATACAGTTCTATTCTCTCTCTCTCTCTCTCACTGTATTGTGTTATCACAAAGCGGCTATCATATATATATATATATATATATATATATATATATATATATAATTAGGAAATCTATCCAATTTCATAGTCAACTGAAACAAAAAAATAGACTGTGAATAGTGAGTTAGTGACAGACGAAAAATATTTTAAGCTTCCCCCATTATATGGTTATACTATCTTTTAACAGTAAAAAAGGCTGAAAGATAGTAAAGAGAGAGAGTCCCACCATATATAATACATATATACAATGAACTGATGGAAAAAGAAAGCACCTGATCTCTTTGTTTTGGTTGGCCTGAGAATTTATGATTATTATTATTATTCAAATAAGTTGTTAAATGTAGAATGTGTAATTATTTGTGGGAAAGTAAATCAATATTCTACATACTATTCTGCCTATCTAGTTATAGTTTAACTGGAGAATATTGTGTTGTTTATTTAAATTTCTAGATCTTGACAAATTGTGACTTGCTGAAAATAAATTAGGCTTTTTCAGACGACAATTATGGCAAGTTAAATATAAGTTTGTCTGAATGGCTGTTAGAATAAGGGTAGAATAAACCGGAACTTTGTGTTCACAAATAACACGTTCCTACTATTGCCAAACATCGATTAAAATTTATTCATCCTTCCAAGAGTGCGTTTTCCCTTTTTTCTTTTGCTTTGTTTATTATTATATTTCCTGCTATCATCGTCTCAATAGTTTTATCCACAAAAATTTTAAAATTTATACCCTTCATAAAATGGCATTTTCTTCAATACTATGGAATTCTCCATATATACCATTCTGATTTAACACTTAGTGCTACTGTCTTTTCCCAAACATACGCCTCCCTACCTGTTTCATCTCACATACTGGTTGTTCCTTGATGAACTATTAACCACAGTCTTACTATCTACTCCTCAATAATGTAGGCTAACTTAGCACTAGTCACTTACCTGACACCTTTTACAACCTTGAAGTGACTTGTAAATTTTCCTTTCCCTCATTATATGAATCGATTATGTGACTTATCACAATTGTCATAATGTCGCATTTCACAATATTTTGTAGCAGCATTCAGTTTAGCATGTCTGTTACACAATTACTACTTATTTTATCATCCCACAACTAATCTGTTATGCCCACATAACTCTGGCTATTATTGCAACGATATATAATACACATTATGATTGTTAGAACTTGAAGAGAATTTGTTGCAAAGGTTACTTTCTTCGTGTAGACTGACTATTAATCATGATATGGGAATATTTTAGACTTAAATGTGAATAAGGCAAAAACAATGGTTTGTGCAGAATAAGATGGTACCATTGTTTGCTCTATCAGCTTCTCATCAGCTGCCCACAACTTGAAACAATAATTAATTAAGTTGACGTACAGAATAATATTGCTGTGCTTGCAAATGTGACATGATGTCAATGAATACAAGATTACAAAATCTATGAGCAATGCTTAGATGGTGGATAACTTTGTACATAGAATGTTCAAGTTTAGACGAAACAAAACCAGAAAAAAAAGTAAATACTGGGATAAAATGGGAAATAAGTTGTGCAATAAAAATAAGAGGTGGATAAGACGATAAGTAACCAATCAAATGCATAGCACTGTGATGAGTTCAACTCATATCACAGAAATAAAAAACAAACAAAATTATGTTACAGCGAAAGTGGAAGAGATAAAGGCCAACTGTTATGTAATTAAATAAGAGGAAGATTAAAGACGTTGAGTTACTGGGGCAACAAAAGCCTGATAACTGCTTCTTTCTGAACACATAAACCGAGTTTCAAGCTCTTGATAGTATTTGCTTCAACAAACTTCAAGAGAATCGAACTATACTGTCCCATTTTAAAAGAATTGATAACTTTAAAGAATCTCAAGTTGTCTATGACCCGTATCAATGAGATGCCTGGTAATGACTGATGGTACAAACAATGGTACCATCTTATTCTGCGAAAACCGTTATTTTGTCCTAACCCAAATTCATAAAGGGGAGTGAGTATATGAAACAAGGTAGTGTTCACAATAAAATGATGACCGGATAGGCAGTTTGGTCTCATAGAGCTCAGTAGCAGCTTGCAGAGAGCTCCAGGCTAGTAAGTCTGAGGCAACGCCACTGAGATTCCCATTCCCCCTTCAACTGTTATCTATTACATCAAAAACAAGCTTAAGGTTATCTCAAATAGTCTCACAACCAACTACTGTCCTGTTTATTATTTTCAGTGGACTAATCCCTATCCCATTATTTATTTAAGCATTTGCTCTTCTCAAGGTCAGATGACCTAATGTTACATATCAAAAACTTTTAATCATCCTCCTAGAGTCAAATCGCGTTCGTTACAAGCTTCAAATTAAGATGATGTTCACACTGAAAGAGCTAAAAGAAACGCATACCTAAGACTCTTTAAACATGTACAAAGAAACCTGTGATCTGAAGTGAACAAATAGTATCGACAATGCTGTTACCGCCAGACATCTTGTTGATACCGGTGATGAAGTACACATCATAAAATCTTCTTAAGACAACCAATAAACAACACAATACAACTCTTCGTTCTATTTGATTAAATAATCTTTTGGTTTAACCCACTCCATCTTGGGCTATAAAAAAAAGTTGAATTTCTTTTGTTGCAGCTTTTACTATTTGAGTTCAACTGACCACGTGATTACACAACCTACTAGTCACTCATCATCAACTTATCAGTCTCTTGATATTATTAAGCAACTCCTGCTTCAAAGTATCCAAACCGAGCACTTCGGTCCAATCAATCGACGGGAAAATCAAAAATTCAATTCAGTAATTAATATGACCCGTTGCACAAGAGGTGGCTCTCGTGGCCCAAGTGGTCTAGTGGATAACGCTTTGGCGTTTGAAACTATGGGCACTGGGTTCGAGCCTCGGTGGGAACATCATCGCTCACTGAGAAATGCAGGTACATCCAGCTGACGAGTCCCTAATAGGACGAAATGCGCATCCTGGATTCCACTGCTAGCCACCATCCACCAATTGTATACAAATCCAAACTTTTCCTAATATACTTGAAACTTCTGTGTACAACATAAGTAAATGTTATTTTTCACCACATATTATTTTGGAGTCTCCTGTTAACTAACATCATGTAATCTTTCCAAGTATGTTACAAATTTCTCTGTGCATATACTTAAAACTCCTATAGGTTGTATGCAACGGACGAGAAACTGACGACATCATCCGATTCTGCTATCAACCTTCGTTTTTGCTTTGTTCAAACTGTCTGTGTGATTTGCACTGCATCACTTATTACCTTTTATCATCCGACTAAAGTATTGACTGATCGGCTGATTGGGTCATCCTTTCTTTAGCTGAATATTGTATTCATCTTTCACAACTCATAATTTTGTAAAACCAAAAGACGAATAAAACGTTGAGTCATTCAGTGGATTATCTTTTGTAATATTTGAATGAACATTTTTCGAAGATTCAACACATACTAGTTTCTGGCTAAATCAGTTGGATTAGTTGTGTTCATCGAGTGTAAGAACAAGAAAACATATTTGACCTATAAGTTTGTACTGATTTCATATTGTTCAGTGAAGCTTACTAACATAAGCAGTTATTGGTTAAAAAAAGCCCTGAATGAACGTGTGGCTAGTGTACGTCAAGTACACGATAAAAAGTACGATAATATTAATAGTCTACTAGAAGAGCAAACGATTGAAAACCACGACGGGCTGTATTGAGAACACCATAAATACAAAAAGATAGATTTTTTTCAAAAATATTTTGCAAAATGAATAACTTCTGTCATACTGACTAACCTAGGCATAAAATATCTTTGAATGCGTGCAGAAATTCAACAACCATTAAACAATTTCCAAACATTTTTCCAGACATTTTGTTTCCTGGAATTGAATTCAGTTGTGGTAGTGGCTAAGCAGGAAAAAAAGGTTTAAAAATAGAAGGAGTGAACAGTATTTCATAGAAATTTGCGGTCAACTTGAAATGATTATGAGCAATAGTTTGTGCTCGAAACGTCATCAGTTAATATTACTGTATAACAGTGTGTGATTTATCAAAATAAAATCTTATCCATAATGGAGTCATTTAATTTAGTTTAAAGAAAATACTCATATGACTAACGTCTACCCTGACAGGGGAAAACGATACCAGTTCGTTTCATGCTAATTCGTAACTGATAGTGAAAGAGAAGGTGAGCTTTGACTATGTCTGTACTGACAGAAACAGCTGTTTCAGTATGTTGTCAGGTGTTTATGTATATTTTCCATAGCATACACTTATCTAATGATTAACAGGCTTGGTTAGTTTTCCAAAAATCACATTTTGTAAAGTATTCTGATTATGGAGACAGTTAAACAAACAAACAAACAAACTGAAAAGCAGCGAAAAGTTGTTGTTCAGAGTGACAGTGATAAAATAGTTGGCATTCTTCTCACATAGATGGTAATTGAGGAAATGTTAACAAACAAATATCAAGATTTTAAAAATCGAATTCACTTCAGCAAACTTAATAGAGCTAATGGTATTTGACATGTTTATAGATTGATTTCAAATACGTGACGTAGTGAATGAACTAAAATTTCCACTATCTGAAAAATGATTTTTCCTTCATATAATCGTAGCTGGTATAAAATATGAAACTTTGGCTTATAATGGGGTTTTCACAATGTGAATTCAACAAATCCTAGTGGTGAGCAAGAACAAACAGTCGTTGCATAGATGAGGAAGCTACAGGTGATCGAAGAAATAGTAAAAGACAAAACCAAGCATGACCAGAGTAAACAAAAGCATATATATATATATATATATATATATATATATATATATATATATATATATAAATTAATATTGATTATCTCAGTGTACACCTTACCTTCAAGTCAATTAAACGTAAATCTTCCACTGGTTTTCTTAGTTCTTGTTCAATCAGTTCAAGGATTTTCTATTTATTAGAAATAATATAAGGGAATAATTCTGAATTTATAGAAATTTTTTGTTTCTTGAAATTCGAACGAATTTTTAGCAACAAAATGTTTCCGTTCTTAAGAGAAACACAAACTACTGATGTTTTATATTCAGTTGAGATACAGTTTATCGATATACTCTCTCTTTCTCTGCCTTTCTGACTCCCTCAACAAAATTTCAGATGGACTAAAACTGAATCAGAAGTAACAAATAACCATGTTTGCATTTTCGAGGCTTGAAATTTCTAACTATTAATATTGGATCTTAAGATTTGTTATGAGATATAATCATTGCCTATCGTAAAATATAATCCCAGTTTGAAGATGAAGAGATATTTTGATTAGCCTTCATTCTAAGTTTAGCTTGAATTGATTGAAAAACCTTTTTTTTTAAATAATCTCTCTTGAAAATAATGTTTACTGTAGGTGAAAACTGTTACAATCCTACCGTATTTCTAGTCAAGTAAAATATTAGCTGCTATCATACTCCAGAGAATATGTAGAGTTAAACAAAGTAAAATCACATAAAAATGAGTTAGGATTCAGGCAGATTATAAATAAATTGTTGTATATTTTGGATAATATTGGATTTTTTGAGTTCACTGGTTTAAGAGCGTAGATACAACATCGCTAAAATCTCCTTGATTTTTCCAGCACTGAAGTCATGTTTAACAAAAACAAAACACATTGGCGAAACAATCCGTTCAGTAGAGAAAATTTCATTGTACAATTATCCATGTTGTAATCCTTTGAAAGACTTCTACCAAAATACTTCAGGTGGACTGGAGATAAGCAATCTGTACATAATATTTGCCGAAATCAATCGCTGTATGATAGGGTTAACTGGAATTCTCTACTTCATGTCAATCTCGATACTTGGAAAGACATGGGTGATGGAGGTATAAATCAGCCTCCAAGAAAAGTTGTATCCAGTCCGTTTTGTGAGAATGGAAAAATCTTAATGCTCAACTGTACACCAGCTATTCAAATGGCAGCTGATGATTTTAAGCTTGCTATTCATAAATATGTGATACACGATACCCACAATTCCGAAATTATTTCAAATATGAATTTTTAAGTCACAGATTCTTCACTATTGCCAATCCCTTCGTAATTAATCACAATTATCTACATACATTTCTTGAATGGAGTTGGTAGAATGTAGATTTATGTCTAAAAACAGTGGAAATCATTAAGAAATGGATAGATTATCCCATAATGGTGACCTGATGGTGCACTGAACTCGTTTAGGTTATGCCTTTTCATTAACATCAACATACAGCACTTTTGTTTTAGTAGGCTATCCTTGAAAATGGCAAGGAAATAATCGTTATGGTGAACTCTGCCGATCGCTACTTCTCAAAAGAACTCCAACTTCATTCTGTAATCAGTCAACAGTGAGGACAAGACTAATATTCAGGTGTTGGTTTGCGAGAATTTCATTGATTTCAGGTTTGATCACGAACTGCCTTCAGTTAGAGGGACCAACACAAGGATGAAACAGCAAACAGTATTCCTGTCTTTCGACGGTTACCTAACTGAAGCCAGTTCATGAAATTAATCCAAACTCTAAAAACTATAGACCTGAAACACTAGAAAACTTCTAATTCATTTCCGTTTTTTCTTTTTAATAAACAGGAGAAAATCAACAGATTGTGCGAAGAAATATATTCCTTTCCAATTAGTTCCTCATCATCGGCTCTACACTAATGTGTAGCTTTTTTACATCTGATAGAGAAGATTTGTAGCTCAGGTGGGTGATTTTGATGTCGTCGTGTTCTCTGAGCTGAATGGTTTATTTGCGAAGCCTTCATTGCCCCACTAGTCAACATCGACATCGAAATTCTACCAATCAAGTGGTTATTTTAGTTAATCCGTTCTAGGTATACGACGGGGGAATTAAGAGGTTAAAGGTCATCGAAACAATTAACTAATAGATGTTAGTAACAAGATATCTAAGTTTTGAAAGACGGGTGAAAACCGATTAAATACGGAATTCAAGATAGGTTAATTCTTAAATGTTAGCAATGAGTTACTACATGATGAAGAAATTTGTAAAATAATGATGACTCAGAAGAGTTACGTAAAATACAAACAAGTTAATGGAATTAGTTAGAATTGTAAAAAAATAACAAAGTCAAAAAACAGTTACAAGGGGAGGGGAGGGGAGGAAAACTCCTTTTTAAAAACTTAATACATATTAAGTAGTTGGCCATGACAAAGAAAGGGGTTGTACTCGGATGAATTCCGATTGCCTCTGTTGTATGCAAAAGTCACACTCGTAAACCATGCGAGAGGTTGGGTAATGTACGATAAATGGATTTAAAAGCTTTGTTACAGTCGACTTGACGTCCAGTGTCGACGAGATGAGCTAGTATTGAGCAGAGTATAGCTTTCTTCGGACCTTTGCCAAACCAAGATGGTAGGTGTTCAGAAATTCGACGATGAACTTGCCTAGTCGTACACCGTAAGTAACTAGCTACGCAACGGCGATTAAAATTGTAAATATCTGGTATCTGCTTTCTTTGCCATGGCCAACTACTTAATATGTATTCAGTTCTTAAGAAGGATTTTCCTCCCTTTCCCTCCCCCTGTTATTTTTTTACAATTCTAGATAATTCCATTAACTTGTTTGTATTTCACGTAACTCTTCTGAGTAATCATTACAATAATAATTGATTAGAATAATTAGTCATCTAATTCAGTGATCTCAACTCACTAAACAAATCTTAATCTCACAAACTGTAACAGCCTTTGGTTATTAGGAGTTGCTATGTGAAACTACAAGCTAACACTGTTCTGCCTTCTGTCTTACCCCTCCCCACTCTTTTCAACTTTAAAAGTGTATAAATTGATGATGAAAACTTAAACTAAAAACATTGTAATGCTTTCATTTTGGATGCGTCAATTTTATAGTATCTCTTCTCTACTACCACTCAAACATTAAAGTATGTTATTATCATCTATATAACCACTGTAATTTCAGGTAGCATGCAGCTGATGAGAACCTGTAAAGTAGAATGATATCATTTTATACTGCAAATTTTGTCTTCCTTTCTTTATCAAATTTATCAAGGGAACCAATTGTATGAGTCATCATTATTTTACAAATTTCTTCATCATGTAGTAACTCATTGCTAACATTTAAGAATTAACCTATCTTGAATTCCGTATTTAATCGGTTTTCACCCGTCTTTCAAAACTTAGATATCTTGTTACTAACATCTATTAGTTAATTGTTTCGATGACCTTTAACCTCTTAATTCCCCCGTCGTATACCTAGAACGGATTAACTAAAATAACCACTTGATTGGTAGAATTTCGATGTCGATGTTGACTAGTGGGGCAATGAAGGCTTCGCAAATAAACCATTCAGCTCAGAGAACACGACGACATCAAAATCACCCACCTGAGCTACAAATCTTCTCTATCAGATGTAAAAAAGCTACACATTAGTGTAGAGCCGATGATGAGGAACTAATTGGAAAGGAATATATTTCTTCGCTCAAGCTGTTGTTTCATCTAAATGCGTAAATAGGAATCTGAAAGTTACTGAATTCATCTAAGGAGAGAAACTATAAAATAAGATAAGAGAAGAATTCAATCTTTTCACAGTTGTGATTTCAATGGGAAAATCTTTCTTTTTTCATTGACCTTGAACACGTTTTCCCCTTAGAACACATTTCCACTTTACATTATGTGACACTTTCCTTGGTTTTTTTAGTATTTTAAATTTTATGTTTTTAATAAGTTCAACGAGATGAAAAAGCTACATGGAATTGTGTTTGATCATACATATATAGCCACAGTGAAAATGATAAGTTATATTTCATTAAGGAAATTCAGATAGACCGATGCATCTCATGGTACTACGTAAACAGTGTCAATACTTCACTAAGTGGTGGAGGTTTGCGACAAAGTCCACCTTGTAATCAATCGGATCTCCGTAATCCTAACACTTGGCGAGCACTGATCTATATTTCTTATCACTCGATGTTCTAACTTGTTTGTGAACGGCTATGGATAGATCTTAGCTCAATAGTGAAAAATGATTCCCAGTAGTGGATGATTTTTCAGTGCTAGATGATAATACAATATCAATTTCATAGGAACATATCATTAACATCAATTATTTCTACAACTTAACAGGATATTATCAAAAGTGAAGATTAAAAAAAAATTACAATGAAATTACTTTTTCTTGTAACTGTTTCTTCTCCTTGATGATCAAATCAGCTTTCTCTTTTTCCATAGCTTCTTGTTGTTTAACAAATTCAATGAAAAATGTCTTTAGATATTCTTTTTCCTAATAAATATAGAGGAAATCAGTCGGTGTTAAGTGAGGCAGTAGATTTGATAAACAAGGACAATTAGATTACATAAAATGTCATAGAGGTTATTAATGATTCATCTGTGAGAACTTGTTCTCTCAGGATCAGGCTTAACAATTCACGTATGCTGCTAATCAATTACTCCCCTAGTCATCCATTACCATGCGGTGAATTTAGGTCCTATCTTACGCCACTGTTTGTCATCACCTTCACCATACGATCGATGTCCAACTACCAGCTGCAAGGAATTTCGTATCATGCTCACATTTGGAGTCCTCCTATCGTTATCAAAGCATGAAGATGTTATCGTGGAGGCATCGATATAGAGTGAGTGCTGTACATCTTAGTGTATCACTCGAGTTTTCAGACAAGTAAACATCCAACTACATCTTTTCAGCATCACTGATTAACATATATACTCTACAAATACATTACGGTTATCTGTTATCAAATGAGCTGTAAAAATTTATAAACAAACAACAGTCCATAGAGTTGTATACTTGATTGAAGGTGAACTTTCTAAGCTGGACCATAGGCGTGATCATAACTGTAATATTCGATAACATTAAGATACAAGAATATAAATAAGTATTTTTCTCTACACTGTTTCATGGTGTTTCAAGGTAGCTATAATTTTAGATTTAATTTTCTATGAAATCTTTATTTACAGGACTATTTGAAATTGCTGTGGATTTTAGAGGATAAAGAAATGCAATTCGTTTATTTTCATGAAAAGAAGCTTACCAATAAGTTTTGTTGTTGTTGTTGTACAGAGTTTGAAATATTAGGAATAGGAGTTGACCAAATATCATTGGGATAAGATGAATTAATTGTTTGTTCATTTGCAAGTTGATGGTGTAAATGTGATCCTCGATTATCTGTAGTGCTTGTACATACATTTTCTTTACTGAAAACTTGACAACTATGAGAAGGAGGCATATTCATTTGTTGGTCAGGTTGCAAAGAAGAAGAATTACTCAAGGTGAAAGAATGATGTGATGCATTTATTGATGAATTATTATTTTGTTTTTTTGTTGAGCAAACTGAAGGCAAATCTACACCATAAGTAGATTTTAATCCTATAGAATGAAAAAGACTTATTTTTCAAAAATGTTCAAGAAAAGGAATATCTAACAATCTATATCACAAAGTATTTGCGTTTTCATGTAAACACGATAATGTCTATATTATATCAAAGCAACTCAAACGATGTACAATATACATAACCAATTCTTTTTTTTCAGTTATCACACAAATCAGTCGTAGTTCAGCCGCTGTCGTCTAGCACAGTAAGCTGACACTACATCAGGCTGGAAAAGAGTTATCAATGGTCGGATCAAAGATGGATAATTCTTTGACTGTTAGTCTGAACCACCTATGGGAATGTAGACTGCCTCGTTGACATTCTTGAGACGTTATGGAACCAATGACTTCGGAATGCTACTGACATGCCTCAAAACCATGTATTCTGAATGAGGCATATTTAAACAGTAGAATATTTGTTTTTATCGTCCGTGTTCAATTTGTGATGGTAATAATACTGTCAATTCACAGTACATTCAAGAAGTATGTTCTTAACTCAGTGGTGTCAATACTACTTTAAGGAACTAGATAAATGTACAACTTTTGTAACAAAAGAGGACAAGAGCCAGGCAACAGATCGTTTATTAAGGAAATCAACACATATTTATATATTTTCATGTATATATTATAGATTATAATTAGCAGAAAAACACAGTCTTCTGATTGGTTGTTTTTCACGGAAAGTTAATCTTGCATCTCTTTGTGACTGTTTCTTGAATGTCAGATCATCCATATGTTAACTGTATCCGCCTACGCCCAGCCTTTGTTCTCATTTTCCCATGACCAATATTGTCGACATAAACATTGACGTAAATTACTGTCCACCAATTTTGGCTAACAGCCAGCTCTCACCACACTTTCGTGTCACAGCTATTCTGTCACTTATTTGTTAGTCATTAGAGTGACTTCACAAATATTTCAGTCTATGGAAAATATAGGATAGATCCGATTATTATGTTGACAAAAATTGTAAAATAGTAATTTAGATTATGGGTTGTTTGTATGAATTTGAATCAATTTCAATGTAGATTTCGTCATGAATCAATATCAGTAAGAGATCATTGAAAATCAGGGAGCATTGGAACTCTCCAGAATCAAGGTGAAGTGGGTGCTTATAGAAGCCATTTGGTGATAGTAGCGTTGTATCACGAACTGACAAAGTTAGAATTCAAGGATCGTTGAGACCCAGCCTAAATAGCTGAATGGTTAACAAGGGTCATTTCGTAACTTGAAGGTTCCGGGCTCGATCCCTGATGGAGACATGGGTGTGCGTCGCTGAAGAGTCCTAAACCAGGGCGAAACAGCTATCCAGTACTCCTTAGTTTTCAGTGACGTTTCTGACAGATATTGGTTGGTGACGAAATCTACATTGAAATCGTAATTTTTTATTTCACAACTGTTCATTAATATTACCATTGTGTTTACACCAAAGCATTATCATTACTTGTCATATCATTTGTCACTGATTTGTCCTATCTCGAACTTACGTTCTGTGTATCTTAATCGCTTGTTTATTACCCTGATGTATTTATACTTCCTCTGACAATAATGAATACAACTCACCTTCGTGAGATATATACTTTTATTGATTATAAATTAACTTGGCGAGCTCCGAATTCAATGAGGAGCGAAAGCTGCACAAAAGGAAACTTACTAAAAGTCTCCGCAAAGACCGTGAACAGTGGTGGGTGACAAAGGCGAAAGAGATGGAAAAAGCATTGGCGATAGGCAACACTAGGCAACTCTTTAGACTCATCACAGAATCGGGCGGGAAAAGGCAATTCATAAGTGAGACTATTTCTGAGAAAAATGGCTCCTTAATTAGCTCTCAGGATAGACGCCTTGAACGCTGGAAAGAACACTTTGAGGAACAATTTAACTTGCCTACAGCCACACTGAACCTCCCCGCCATCCACCACGTACCCGAATGGGATATAGACACTGGTCCGCCGTCTGTAGGTGAGGTTACAAAAGCTATCAGTAATTTGAAACGAGGCAAAGCGGCAGGACCCGACGGAATTATTCCGGAGGTGTTTAAATATGGGGGTGACATACTAGTTTGTAGATTAACTGAGGTACTAGGCAAAGTCTGGGAATCAGAGACAGTACCATCAGACTGGGGTAAGTCACTTATTATACCGATATTCAAGAAGGGAAACAAGTCCTCGTGTGATAATCATAGGGGGATCAGCCTAACGAACATAGTCTCTAAAATCCTAGGCTCAGTAATCATGCATAGACTAAGCAGAACTCGGGAGGAACAGACAAGGGAAAATCAAGCAGGCTTTAGACCAGGTAGAGGGTGCATAGATCATATCTTCACTCTTCGACAGATTCTAGAACATAGACACACTTTTCGGCGTCCAACAATTGTCATATTTCTTGACTTGAAGGCGGCCTTCGACTCCGTGGACCGAAAAGTACTATGGCAATGTCTGACTGTGAAGGGAGTGCCAAGAAAGTACATTGCACTAATCAAGGCACTCTATTCAAACTCACGTAGTCGTGTAAGGGCTTATGGGGAATTGTCATCTGAATTAGTAACAACCAGTGGTGTCCGACAGGGATGTCCACTTTCCCCATTTCTGTTTAACTTCATCATAGATATGCTAATGGAAGTATCCTTAACTGAACGTAGTGACTTAGGAATCGACTTGTTACCAGGGAATAATCTAATGGACTTAGAATATGCAGATGACATAGTCCTGTTAGGGGAGGATGCTGACAAAATGCAGAGTCTTCTGAACACCTTGAGCAGCAATCTTCGTATGTTTGGCATGCGATTCGCCCCTGCAAAATGTAAGATGCTGCTACAGGACTGGACGACGTCAACCCCTAACTTAGTGATAGGGAGTGAAGTGATAGAACATGTTGACCACTTCACCTACTTGGGAAGTTGTATTAGCACCAACGGACTGATTGGCGATGAAATCTCAGCACGGATCCGAAAAGCTCGAGCTGCTTTCGCTGACTTACACCATCTCTGGCGTAGGCGTGACATCCGGTTATCAACCAAGGGACGTGTGTACTGCTCATCAGTTCGCTCCGTCCTTCTCTATGGCTCTGAAACATGGCCAATACGCGTTGAAGACATGAAAAGGTTGACTGCTTTCGATCATAGATGTCTGCGATCTCTGTCTCACGTTAGGTGGTTTCACAAGGTAAGTAATGTTGACGTTAGGCGTAGAGTGTTGGGCAAAGAGGGAAAATCAATCGACGAGGTTATAAAGTTACATAGACTAAGATGGCTAGGTCACGTGGTGCGCATGCCTAACCACCGCCTCCCCCGACGGGCATTGTTAGCTGATATAGGTTCAGGTTGGAAAAGAGCCAGTGGTGGCCAAACAAAAACATGGCATCAATCCATGAAATCCTTGACAGTTAAACTGAGTCAGGTAGGGAGATGCAGACTCCCGGGTTGGGGCCCTCGGGACTCTAGGAATCAATGGCTGGAGACAATAGGTGACATGGCTCAAAATCGTTGTCAATGGCGCAGATGTATTCAGTCTCTGTAATCTTTCATATTCCTTTCTACCATTACCCATTCTGTTTCACTCTTATATTTGTCAAACTCTATTAATTCTCTTCACTCATCTTCTTGTCTACCTCTGTGTGCTATTTGGAACGTGGCAACTCGAACTGCTGCACTTCGGTGCCAAGTTCTATGTTGAATCCAGACAGACAGACAATACGTCATTCATTTAGTTAATCTCATTTTATCTCATGCTCTCGTTGTGACTAAACAAATTATGTGCATCTAACTGATAATCAAAACTAACTATTACTTTAACTTGCACTTATGCTCCAATACAGTTTCTGATATGATTTTTATTTACCAATACTAGTTATTGTATACTAACATTAACACATTTATAATTGTAGGGCCTGAAGAATTGACTAAAAACAATTGTCCACTTTCATTATTCTTGTTACGAATAAATTTATTACAAGTTGAAATTTTATATAAGCACATTAACGATCTGTCTATGAAAGAAATCGATATATATATATATATATATATATATATATATATGAGCTATTTGAAAAGTACAGCAACTAACCTTTTGGGTCAATAAACGTATTCATACTACACGGAGTGGATGACGCACAACTCTTAGCATACTTCGATTCAGATAAAAAGGTCTGACTAAAACAGTCGATTGATATTTCAGGTACCCTCTAAAATTGTTAGCAGAATTAAATAAGAATTGCATTACACAGTCAAATAAATGTGCTACGACTAATGTAAACATTAGTTTATTAAGATACAGACTACACATATAATACAATGGCTAATAATTTCATCTATCTGTTCAATTTCCATTAGTTACCAAGCTAGATCACGAACAACTGACTTCAGTTAGAAAACCAAGGTGTACTGAACATCTGTCTCGTCCCAGTTTGGGGCTCTTCAGTAGTAGTCACCCATGACTGCACCAGGAATTGAACCAGAGATCATCAGGTTACAAGGTGGAACCGTCCAGCTACTGGGACGGAATCCAGTGGCCATGAACTCTAAATTCTGTCAACTTGCTAGTGCCAGTGCCAGCAAATATCATAGGCCGTTATTTTTCCTCATACCCAAGTTGGAGGACTCCAATGATCAACGGGTTCTCTAACTGAAATCATTTCATGATATAACTTGAAGTCGATCAAATAGCTTTCATTAGTTAAACAGGATTGAAGCTCATTATTTTGCTGACTGACGATTAATTGCTTCAACTGCTAAAATGTAGTCACACTATTTGATCTGTGAAGAGAATTAATTGTTAGTAGTAAAAACAATATCGTTTTGTTTTTCATTCATTGGGAAATACAAAAACCTTTATTACAACGAATATCATATACCCAATGCCCAAATTTTTTCAAACCGTTAAAAGAATTAATTGTTTTGTTTAAAGAAACAGGTAGATATTTCAAGCATCCAGTTTCGAAGATTCTTTTAATTGCAATCAGTTATTTGCAATAAGAATTAGATTTTTAATATCTTAGATCAATGAATACAGTTGGATAAGCCTTATGTAGCTGTAAAATTAATGCTACTTATGTTCAGCATAGTTGCCTTTGAATCTACTGGATGAATAATGAAACTGTTTCTGGCCTTACGTTCACTTCACTGAAATACCTGAGATCATATCCAAGTCTTAACTTCTCCATGCAACCTCCCCATTCACAATAATGTTGAAGATAATGTTGGCTTCCTCCACGTGTGTGTGTGCGCGCATCATTTCATTTGCTGCTGTGGGTCTAAGCACATTGATCGTGCAATCAGGACATTGTCTGAACGTGTACAATAACATCTCCCAAGATAGTTGTCAAAATGAGAAATCACACCAAACAATAGACTAGCCCTTAAGCATTTTGTTGTTACACATCGATGTATGTTAATTAAGGTTTTCAAAATGATATTTAAGGTAAGGACAGGCTTCATATATATTCTGAATCTCTTACTCTTATCCAAAATGTTCTTGTCTCGAAAGTCTATACAATTTTAATAATAAGCATTTCTGAACGGTATTCACTACTTATTGATTCAGATAACATAAGACCAACTAAACAAGTCACAATTTATCAACTTCATTATAAGTAATTCAGTGCATTTTGTTATCGACTGAACAACATTATTTGACCTTTGTTGGTATTTTCTGTGACCTTTAACAGAACACAGTTTAACCCTGTAGCTTTGATGAAAAGTTACGAAAGAATATATTCTTTGCTGACCTGTCTTTTTTTAATTTAAATCACATGAGTATTCTTCATACTTTTCTCTTGTTCTACTAGAAATAGGTGTACTACCAAAACAATATTCATAGATGATTCATAGGATCATGAAAATCAATATATTTTTACAGTAGCATATAAACCTAGCTGTGAGAAACCCTGATAGGTTGTTAAGTGGCTGAAGGGAATCAGCGGAAGCCTTAGATCTATGTTTCGTGCTTGTTGACACTTATCAGCAGAGCCTATCAGCAATCTTAGGGAAACTAATTTCCCCTCTGGGATTAGAACTCGCACCATTCAGTGCTATAACCAGAGATGTTACCAGTGAGCTATTGAGAGTTGCGACTGACTAGACTGAAAGAATTCAGTCTACACCAAACCAAGGTTTAAACGCGTGACATTGGTTACTACCTAGTGACTAATCAAAAAGTGGTCACGGATACGTTTGTATTTTTGTAGGAAACAACTACGTTGGACAGGTATGAGATGTATGTATAGTTCGTTAAATCTGAGAAAATAGTTAAACCTCAATTTTATAAAAAGAATTAGAATTCAGCATGTGTAGAATACCTCAAACATCTTTCTTTCCGCGTAGTTTCATAAACTCTTTTAAATGATTTCAATATTTCCAATCTCTGTTTAGCAGTTATTGAAGAAAAGCGTACTTATCTTGTGAATTCAATTTCCACTATGTATGACGTTATTTTACCTACATGACATGTGAAACAGCACCGACAACTAATTACTTCAGTTGGTTGTGTAAACAAAATTTTGTAAAAGTACTAGTGTGTCGCATTAAAACAGAGAGTAAAAATATTTAACACTTTATTTATCCCACACAAAAACTTACATCATGAGGGTTGTTGGAGGCACATACACCTCGTCTATGCGGATCCAGGTGAGCTACTTTCTCCAGTGTACCATGGTGTCCAACATTAGAACTAAAATAGTTTAAAAATGTATAAGACAATTCAGTCACTGAGTAAATCACCTTACTTCTGTTCAGTTTGAATACGTCCTCATACGTAAACCAAGTGGTTACAGTACTTCGATTTTTTTTCAAGAAGTAAACAAAACGTTATGGAATAAACCCCAAAAAAATTAATGTGATAAAGATTTTTAAAAAAATGAGGTTAGCTATACTGGCTGGTAGTGATCAGCAGTGGAGTTCAGGATTTGCACTTCGTTCTGTTTGGGGCTCGACAGATGGATCAATCTCTATTCCCTGGTGAATAATGGTTCGGCGTTTGAAATGGAAGGTCAAGGGGTCCAGTCTCGGTGAGTCTATCCAGTCGACGAGTCCTGAACACGACAAAACGCGTACCATGGATTCCACTGCTAGTCACCACCAAACGAAATAACTCCATGTTAATCCTCAGATACTTTCGAAACGTCAGTACTAGGCGGTGAAATGTCCACAGAAACCGAGCATATCGGTCTGACATAATCAATCAATGAGAAATGGGAATTTAACTCAGAGGTGAGATTATATTTAAAATTACAAATATCACATACAATTAACATCTGAAAATAAATGGTCTTCACTATAGTCTGATTCTTAAAAAGAATTCTGTTATGTTATCATATGATGATTACTGAAAATTTTAACATTTCTGTACAATTGCACAGTAAGTTGCAGTCAACTAGTTCCACGCTATTTAGGTAATTCTTACTATACCTCGATCTTTCCATTTGAGCAAAAAGACTGTAGGCTGCCTATGCAAAAACACACTGATTACTCGACAATTGTTGAGCTGCAGGGATTTTACAATATCCACTACAGATCGACATCATTTTGAAGAACATTACCACGTGATTTTCAATGGTTCTCTAGCTGATATCGCTTCGTGACAAAATCTTCCTTGAGAACACTGATTATTTTAAATTGTGTCCTTCATTAAGTCACTTTAAATCGACAACAGGCTGTTATCATGACGTCTCCCAGTTGAACTGTATTGTTGTATGTGAATTAGTCACTAAACCTATGTGAAATGGAACTGTTTAATTTTGTTTGGAATCTAACGTTCAAGTATGCGAAGGTACTATGTGTCCTACTCTTGAAATTAGGAATTTACTTTTATGAACAATGAATTGAAGAAAGAAATACTAACTTCTCAAATAGATCCTGGTCAGTGGGTCTACTCTTTGGTGCACAGGAATTTTAATACAATACGGAATTTACCAGTGGAGTTGTTATAAGTTTATTAAAAATAATTCGGTAATATTATTATATCAAAAAGAGGCGCTAATCAACTAAAATTAATGAAACATTTAAAGGGGTAAAAGTATTTGTAAGAAATAAGCAAATGGATCACATAATGCATAATTTTAAAAAGTAAGAATAAAAGAGTGGTCGTATGATTAAAATCGATTACATAAGAATAATAAAGATGACGTCAGCAGAATAATAAGAATAACGACTCGTATATGGCAAAAGGTAAGGTGGATATTGTTTTTACACTTATGAAGATGACCAGGATAAGGAAACTGGTTGTAGCAATTGTGTCCGGATGCACAGGTTCGGCTTTTTCAAGTGAATTCCGGTAGCTTCTACTGTACTTAGAAGATGAACTCATAAAGCAAAATTAAGACTAGCGGGAATACGACGGATCAGTCTAAATGCTTTGTCACCTGTCTAACTATGTCATTTATTTTGTCAAACTTTGTTGATACTGATATTTTTTCATACACGTATTTTATCAACAAGTTTTACTGCAGGACATTCAGTTCACATTAGTTCGCTTGTGAATTATATAAAAAAAATTTTGAACTATCAACTAACGGCCTCAACTACACCCCAGTGTTCAAAGTTCGCTGTAGTTCATATATTCTCTTCACTTTATAATTTCAAAACTATTTACTATCGTTTATTAGATGTTTCACTGTGTGATACATCTAATAAACAAACTAATATCGAATTACTTACTACCACAGTGCCCAAGTTTTATGCATATATTAATATGACCATTTACTGTCGTGTATTTGGAATGTCATAGGTTTGAACCCTGGAGGGTGCATGCTACAGAAGAGTCCAAACTAGGGGGAAACTGTGATCCCTGGTTTTCACTGGTTCCCTAGCTGACGTCAGCTCGTGATCAAACCTGTCCAATCAAATTTCTGCAAACCAGCACTTGTATGTGTGTAAATACGCCTGGATGAAGTATATGCATAAATCTTTTTATGTATAGGTAAAGTTATTTCAGGTGCGTCGGTGGTATGGCGGTTAGTACGCCCTCCAGCCATGCACATGGTCCGGGGTTCGATCCCCGGCCAACGTACTCCTTTACCTCGCTAAGCCAGAAATAATGCTGGTAAAGAGGAAAGGTTTGGGCATGAGGCTAGCGACCCCATCCTGTAAAAATAAACACCACTGCTACAGAAACTTCAAGCCTCTAGCTTGAAGCCCTATGTTTCACTGCGGAACGTGAAGGAAAAAAAGGTTATTTCAACACACTTATAGACATAAAACAAATGGAACTGTAGTGAAGTTTTAATGACTAACCCAAAACCTTCTATTTCAATGAACATTTCAATCTGAACATGTACACTTCATATTGTGCAGTTTTTCAAACCCATGTTATTCCCTTTTATCGCAACTATATTTTAATGTTCATAATGAAATGACTTATTTGCCTTCTAGGCATTTTAATAAGATTAAAACTTATAAGAACACGGTTGGATAAATCTTTTTTCTAACACGGATGAGGTATTTCATAAACACACTGAATTGTAAATACACGTATATACAAAAAAAACTTATTTTTCTGGAGTGTAAACAAATTTAGTCAAAAATGAAAGTAATTATTCTATAAACAGTGTCTTTTGGTAGCCTGCTAATGTAGCCCAGTGATTACTGGGCTATGTGAATTTCTATCCAAATGAATGTACCGAATTTCTTTTATTTCTTAGTGTTTTAATGATTCAATTATATCCTTGGGTAGCAAAATGTACTCAACGCAGATTAGTTATTGGCTTTGAACCTACTGCTGTGCAGTTCTCAAAGACGAAGGAACAATATTATAAGAGATTGGTTCATGTTACAGGCGGAACATGATTGCATCAAGTGATGTACTATATATCACTATTAAATTAGGAGCTCCTGGACGAAGAGAATATATTATGCAATAAGTCAAACTGAGAATCGTGTACATTGTGTAAACATATAGTCCAGAACAGAGCTATTATTATCTACTTATTTACAATATTTTTTAACTTACTTAGAAGGAATTGGTGTTTGCAAGTTCGAGTGTTTAGCGCACTGTAGCATTTCACTGTTTTTAGCTGTAAATTAAAAAAATATATGTATATTTGAAACAATGTATGAGAAGTATAGATCACACTTACTGAGGGAATAAAATGCATTTAATACACGTCTTTTTTTAAAATAATAGAGACTGTTTATAGCTCAGGCGGATGTTTTTCGAGTGGTCATGTTCTCTAAGAGGAATGGTGTAACTGAGAAGTTTTCATTGTCTATCCATGCAACATCTTCAGAGCTTACTTCAGTGACTAAACACAGATAAAAGAGTGCAACCACACCGAAAAGTATGTCTTCTAATGAAAAGAAATAAAATTCACTTTGAACAATGCAGATTAATGAAGCGAGTGAAATATTCTATACTTCTTAATCTACTGTGATTCATACTTCTCTAAAATAATAAGATTTTGTAAGATAAGAGAAACATTTCTATGCATGCACTACTACAGAATGCCTGTTCCATTCAACCAACAATTCAAATTATTCTTATATTTTTAATATAATCTTGTTATTTAATTAAAATTACTTTCTATGAAGGTACAGGTCACGTACGTAGATGTCACTGATTCAGTTGTAGAACACTCCCCTGCCACCAGGGCGGTCCAAGTTCGATTGCTGCCTGATGCATTACTATACCTTGCTTAGTTTACTAGCTGGTAGTAAACCCGGAAAAACAGTGAAGGTTGGGAGGCAGATTAGCAACCTGACCTCGTAAAAACAACACCGAGCCTATTGAAACATCGTATTATGATATTACGTTACAAAGCAGATTCATCTTCATGAGTTGGTTTGTAAAGATTTATCTTTACAAGTTTGACCACGGACTGATATCAGTTAGAGAACCATTGAAAATCAGGAAGTATTGAACAGCTGTTTCATCGGCAGTACGCACCTACCGCCAGGGTTCGGACCCATTCAGCCACTGGGACCCGATTCAGTGGCTAGCCCATGAATTCTAACTCCTACCAATTCGTAGTATAACGCGACTGGAACTCACCAATGTCATCAGTCGGAAATCCATCCTCACAATGAGGTCCAACCAGTCAAGTGTGAGGATGGATTTCCCACCGATGACATTGGTTCAGTGGTGGCTTGAAGCAATGCAGAGAAAAACATTACAGACGGATTATAGTTTCAAATCCGAAATCGATTGGTTCAAATGTTAAGACACTATTCGCTAGTTCGCTAAACCGACAGAGTCACCTCTTCTTCAACTGACATCAGTCATCATCTAAGATTTTGTAATTTCCTGTTGTTTTACATCCACCAACCGTATTTATCAGCGCCTGCTGATATGGTGCCATCCTTCAATGCTTAACTAAATATTGTCGTTATGCTGATTTTGCTGCTGTTTTGTTTCATGGCGACCAACAGTGTAATTACGGACGCACGTTTTGATTGTCAGAACTCAATAGTATTATGCGTTGTACTGTGACATCTGAAGCAGTAACTGCTTATTTCGGGTGTGTCTAGGATCCCCATTCTTCCGTAAACACATCAGGCTAGATTGTCCCACATAGGAAGGAAAATGTGTTATACATTGCGCTATAAGCCACTATCAGGTAAGGAGAATCCCGATAGACATTGAGTACTGATTACAGGCCGATAAATCCACTATAACAGGGAAGCGAAGTGAAGTTACAAAAAGCATTATGGACAGGCTAATCCAGATCGTAGTAGCGTCAGAATTTCGAGAGACAGAGAGTGAGTTTAGCACATTTTACACAGTATTTTTTAGATTATGAATTCAAGATTTAGTGACTTAACATTTGTAGTGAATAATAAGAAATTTATACTTACCTGATGAAGTAAATTCTAAGTGTGTTGGCATATTTGCTGAAGATTGACTGCTCCTAACAACTTCACTATTTTCTCGTCTGTAACCTTCATCTGGTCTAATTCCTAGAGCAGTATAGGCTAAGCGGTTGGCTAAATTCACGAGATCTCCATTACAATTGTCAATATTTTTTAAAACTTCATCTATGGTTTCTTCAATGCTACCTTCATTTCTGCCATTTATAGCTTCAAAAGACTTTTGTTCTTGAGATTTCATCAAGTCATTTTTTATTTCAGCTACACTGAAGTCTAGCGGCTCACGTGATTCACCGGTTACAGAATTGCAAGTGAATGGCTTTATTTTTGAACTCGATGCAGAGATCTCTGCTTTTGACTGGGTACAGTTCTGGTCTATATTTGGTTTAACGCCTGGTGAAACTCCTACTACGGCTTGAGTATTGACCTTAAAAGAGAAATGAAAAGGTGAAATTACGGTAACAATTGGAAACATAAAGTAATAAACACAGAATATTGAGGCGATATGAAAAACGATAATAACTGTTCACTTTAAAATGGAGTGCAACGGTGAGTCTAATAGTTTAGTGGATATATTACATGCCAGACCGACAGAATCCAATCAGTATTAAGAACTAAACAAGAAAGAAAATGCTTACTCCCCAAATGCTCAAAGTTAGATAACGTGTACATTTGAGGTGTGCATCGTCTATACAGCTTTCTGATCGTCTCAAACAGCCTAGAAGTGTTCTTATATGGTGACTGGACTAGAGTGAATCTACAAGAGTTAAGTGAGTAGAAATAACAACCTTTATAACTCTTACCAGACACTTCATGAAGTGTGCTACGAGTCACGAGTCCTATATCAACTTATGTCAATCGTCATATTTAAATGAGAGGCTCAGTTTAGTAAGTAAAAACTGCCTCATATGTTTTAATTAAGAGCAAAATTCAAATATCGACCAGGCATAAACATGAATTATTGTTCATACGAGACAAGTAACTGAGGCAGAAAAAGAACTATAACTAACCTGTAGCTGTTTTTCACTAGTATTATTGACCGAATGACTTTGCTTGGTTTGCGTTTGTTGTTTGCTAGTCATCTGGCATTGCACACCAGCCAATTTAGGTGGTCTACCTCTACCACGATGAGGTGTTGTAGATGAATTACACTGATTTATTTGGTGATTGCTATTACCTGCTTTTTGGCGTCCAGATAGTTTTGGATTGGTAGTAGAGGGAGGTTTTGTGCCTATGGAACTTGTCACTGGAGGTTGCTGATTAGTAAACAAATTTGTCTGACGCTGGAGTGAAAAGTATAAATTAATGACTATCAGAAGATTTACGGATGTGAATAAAGGATTATTATTATTATTTAATTACTCGGGGTTCAGGAAACATGACTGTAAAAGAAAGATTTATTCCAAAAACAGTTGTTGGAAATGCACAACTTGGGTACATATCTTTGGAAGATTATTAGAAATGTTTGTTGATATTTTCCTAAAAGTTTAAAGCAATACTCCTTTGACACAAAATGTATTTAATAATCTGGTATGGGCCTCAGTGGTTCAGTGGTAGAATGCTCACAAATCACACACGTGGTCCACGTTTGATTCTCGGCCACCGTTGCCCTCCTAAATTTCGTGTAGCCTTCGTGGCATTAAGCCTAAAAAAGAGGGAAGGTTGAGGCTAGCAGCCACATCCAGGATGAAAAACACTGCCTCCGCAGGAATTAACGTCTGTAAGAATTTGAGCATTGTATTATAGATCAAATTAATTTTGAATTATATTTCAATAATTTACGCACAATGACAATTTCGCTCGAAATATTAACAAAATGGAAACTTGTGTGCAGATTATTGAAATATAATTTATTTGATCTGACATGAACTTATGTTACAATAATATGGGTTAGTTATAAGGAAAATATTTCTAACTTTGAGACATTCACTGCAGACAGAACAATGTTATCTCTTTGAGGGTAAAGCAAACACTACGTGATCTCTAATTGTCTTCTACCCATATTTGCATTTGATTGCTAAAGTGAACTCGGAGACCAGTACTATGTATTATATTACTGCTTAGTGGTGTATCACATTCACTTACCAAATATCAAATACTTGAATGTGATGTACTGTCTAACCTTAAGGTAAATGTTAATCGATATTTAAGACGAAATCTTTGTTTTTCTATCCTTTGTTGACTATAACTCATCACGGATTGGTTCAAGTTTCCTCATCGCATGGTTATAGATTTTAGAAGAAATGACTCTTGCACTATGTGGCGTAAAATAAACGTATGATACATGGTACATTATCTCTCTTTTTATATCTATACAAAAAATCTAATTATTATTTATTGACTGACATCCAGGTTACAAATCTAATCCTATTACTACACTAAACTTGACATTTATTCCATGTTAAGTGGTTAGAGTCAATCGGTATAAATTTATAGATTTGGGGGTTTAGTGCTTATCTTCAGCACTCTTCGGCAAAGCAAATCGCTCACCTCTGCAGTCAAAGATATTAATTGCTATTGAGTTATACTTCAGTTCATGAATAACTTCCTTCTGTATTTCAAACAAAATGAGTAAATTTGCACAAACTAGGCTGGGAGTTTACTGAAATGATAGTTTTAATGAATTATATATTGAATTCTCAATCATGACGTTATGCAGTCAATATACATGCTGACAATCAGTTAAAAAACTCTAATGCATTAAGAAAAAAACGGCAAATTCAATAAGTAAAAATCTCTAATAAAACTAATCAAACTTTTGTTTAATTTTAATTAAGTTGAAAGATCTTTGTTAAAATGTAGTGAAACTCCACAAAATAGTAGTTATTTAAGTGGTAAAAATAAATAACAGTATCTAACGGATGAAGAATGTTGAGTGTTTCTGTGATCCTGAGGAAACTCCGGTGCTTTTTCAAAAAATATCTGGAGTATTCTTTCTCAGTCTGACCTGGATAAGATTTTCTATAAGTCAACTTCACTCAAAACCACAGTTCCTCAGTGTCGTTTCACTTAGTTTAGTAGCTAGAAATGACCGTCAGATTTTGTATAGGAGTTGAGTTCCGAGCTGTATATTGGTAACTACCATCTAGTAGGCAGTTTGTATACGTTAAAGTTCATAAAATGGATAAGGCAGTCACAACCTAATTATCCTTGAAGATTTTTCACTTATTCGTTGTCTACTACCGATGAAGTAGGAGAGTTTACGGATATTCCATAAGAAAAACAATGAATTTATCTATAGGATAAAGAGTTCAATAGGATGGAAATGCCATTCAGAGGTGTTTATTGTTTTGAAAATAGTTCGACCTAGCGGGGAGTACAAAACGGAATGATTAAATAGTGATATGAAGTAGTAAACACAGGGTGTGAGAGTAAAATTCGAATAAAGTTGTAAAATATAATTCCCAATTAGGTAAGTTACAGTATTATTAACTGGAGTGAGTCTTGAGCACAAATTTCCGCTCATAATCATATCACTGATAACCATAGTTAGCGAACTATTATTATTGTTTCATATTTGTTTGAACTCACTTTATCATAACGATTTGTAGGCTTATTCAAACATTTACTTAAAAATGTCAGAACATCACTGAATGACTCTTTAGGTTCAACATTTGGGCAGATAGGTGGTGTGGAAGTTGTACTAATTGGTTGTTGGCTTGGATAATTGATTGAACCACGCTGTATTAAATTAAGTCCATTACTAGTTGTTAAATCATTTTGTGTTGGTAAAGTTGATGGGGATTGATCTTAATGAGAAAAGAAATCAGGAAATTAACATGAGTGAAATAATTTTAAAAAAGGAAGTCGATTAGTGATGAAACACACTTGCAAATATGACTGACTAAGTTTCAACTCAGAGCTTCGCACAAAAGTGCAGACCTCAAGTTTCCATACCGTACATGTAGCACACAAGAAACTAACTCAAAAGAACTATAATGAGCAAAAATATATGGGTAAACGAAGTAGTAACATGGAAATACATAATGTCTTAATAGACTTGACAGATTACAAGGAGTGAATGCATCTGCGCCATTCAGAACGGATTTCAGCCATATCATCAATAGTCTCCAGTTACTCGTTCTTAGCATCTCGAAGTCCCCAACCACGCATTCTACAGCTCCCTACACGGCTCAAACTTACTGTCAAAGCCTTCATGGGTTGATGCCATTTTGGGTTTGATTATCCCAAACTCTTTTCCAACTTCATTGTATGTTGGCCTATAGGAAGACGATGACTTCTCATGTACAGCATGTGCCCTAGCCACCCCAATCGACGTAGTTTCACAACCTCGTCGACTGACTTTCCTTCCTTATCTAGCACTCTTTGCCTATCTTCAATATTGCTCATCACATGGTAATTATTTGTTAGCAAATAATCTAAACCAACTTACCTGGTGTTTGGATAGTTTTGTAATTACTGTACATAGCGTTCATGACCATCATTAGGGCTTGAGAGTAGGCCAAACTATTTCCAAAAGAGTTATTCACTGTATCACCTGTCGTTGTGGTATTATTTGACTCAGGGATGGATGTGTTGGGTAGGAGTGTATTAGAGGATCCAGAAGAAGAGAGAAATTCATTAACAGGATGTGTAGTACCGTTGTTGCTTAATAAGTTTGTATATCTCAAGGATTCAGATAAACTATCTCGAAAAAATGAGATAGCTTCTCTTTGTTTTTGACTATCATTGTGAAGCGCACAGAGATTACTGAAAAGCTGTCCAGCTAAAAATGCATTTTCATTGTTTGCAAAATTAACAGTTTGATTCTGTTCAGAACTTGAACCTGTTGAAGGGATACCTTGAAGTGACGCCATAGATGTAGAATGGTTTCTAGAACCATGAACTTCGGCACTTTCTACATTAGGATGAAATCCCGTTGTAGGACTAAATGGTTGTGATTGTCCAATATCTACCTGACTATATATTTGATTCAAGAATGCCAAATGTTGTATGTCCTGTAGGCTTAATGCTTCAGAAGTATTTTGATAAGGTGAATCTACTCTGAGTGATGGATTATTGTGATCTGTAAAAAAATAGTGTACATTTAGTTAGTCTAAAAAATTCCCTTTAAGTATTAAACAAAAATAGGAAATAATGAGCATAGCCAAAAGATTCAAGTCCTTCAAGAACGTATCAAGAGGCCTGTAACTGACGTTATAAGGGAAATAATACGGCTTTATTTCAGCTTCAAAAATCACCCTTCCAACTGACAGAAACTTTCTAAATTGGAACTCCACAAAATTATCCAATAAACGAAAATATCACATCATTCAGGACCTGAAATATCTACTAACCATAAAAGACCACCGGCGGTTATAAATGATGGTAGCGTCTGATATTTTTTTAATTTGATACAACGCAGTCATGCAGAAATGCAAAGCGTAATGATTTCATAAGCAGAAGCTTAACGGTCAGTCAGGAACACAATCCCTATATCCAAGATTAACATGTCAAATCCAAAAAACCTTTCGGTGAACAACAGTTTAGATTATTAAAATAGCGTTGATTCAAAGTACTAACATGTACAAAAGTAAGTACGATCCTTACTGACAATTCAAAGTATCAATATGCAATTCAAAAATTCAGTTGTCGCATTGTACGGTAAAATTAAGTCTGAAATAATTGACATCGAAATGTCTGAATGGATTGGTAATCGTTCAGCAGAATCAGTTTAACAGAATACATGGGATTGAATGCCACATGAGTCGTATGAAAGTGGGTGTTGTCAAACTAAATGATTATGAACGTGAAAACTTCCCAACTGGGACGAAGTTCTTTGGTGCCCCTTAGTTCTAGAATTTATGTCACTTTTGATAGAAACTGCAAATTACTAAAATTCCCTGCAAACCAATGCTCAACAACTCAAATATAGATGATGTGTATGTTTAATATTCCGCCCAAAGTAATTATTTAAGAACGATGGTGCCGTCAGACGACTGAATAATTAAGATACCTAATCGTAGTTTCCATACATATGAAACATTATAACCTGTCATTTAGACAGCATACTCTAGGAGCCGTACGGGTTCTGAAGAAACACTCATTCCTAGCCTTCGACACACATGTTATCGAAGTGACCGAAACTTTTGACTAACATGTAAATCAAGAGAGAAGGGTACGTTGCTATTCAGAAACTGGTTTCTACAAATAATAATGTTATGCACGACCTCACTGTATAGTAATAAGCGTTCCAGCAAAAGCCCTGTGTTATCAAGTATATTTCCATTTGTCACGATTATCCATACGTTCCAAGAGTTAAAACAAGTCAGAATGATCTTTTACAAATTGGGTGATGTTTGAACAATTTACATGTAATATCTGTTTCGAGTGTTGTCTGATTAGTTAGACAACATGAAGCATTATTTTTAGGTATTTCAGCATCGTTTTATAGTGTAGTACTTATTTATACACTCAGTCGAGTACCTTATACTATTTTTTAATATAGAATATAAAATTTCGTTACAACATTGACAATTGTTTACAAAAGTCGTATAAAAGTATAACTAACCAAGCATTCTTAAATTATTCCACAGATGAGTGTTCTGCAAACAACTGAGAACATTGACATCAGGAGCATTAACACTGGTGCTGTTTAAACATCCCACTTTACTTCCTATATTACTATGTTCCTTTGTTGTAGTATTCTGTTGATCTTTACCATTCTGCTCCAATTGTAAAAGCTGCATTTGTAGTTGTTGAAGTTTTAATTGTTCATCAAGGTATGTTGTAGGCATAAAATTTGTGCTTTGTGAGGTACTGGGGAATGTTTTCTGAGACCAACAGTTGAGGCTATTAAGGTAAGACAGAGTTGGATTAGTATATGATGAGTTATGATTTGAATGTGGATGAGATAGGAATTGTAATTCGAATAATCCACATTTGTTGTTATCGTTTGATGAATTTGTTTCAGTACCACTCGTAGGAAAAATAGATCCATTTGTTTCAGATGACATTGCTGAAAGTCACTGAATTTTATCTGCAAAGCAAAACAAAAGATTATTGGAAAGTAAAAAATTAGAGGTGGAATGGAGGTATTTTTGAGAATTACTTAACTGCTGATATCTTCAATACACTTGCTTTGGTCAAAACCGGCACAGGAAACTCCATCTACTAGGCTTAATGTTCTGCATTCAAAATATTTTTCGGAATAATTTTCTGGTAAGGAAGTATTTTAGCTAAATGTAACGGTACATGAGTCTTTAACGCGATATTATGAACTTTATTTCGTATGACATTCGTAATTTATGACTTTACAAGTGACAAACATTTAAAAGTCCTCGGTCCCATATATTTTAATTGATTTTGAGTTGAGAAGTATATCTCGTGATAATGCGGAGAGAAGTATATCTTCATCGATGAACTCCTTGTGGAATCAAATAAAGTATAATTATATTTCAATAGTTTACGCACAATGATAAGTTTTGTTATTGGTAATATTTGTGGAATTTTCATGTCACAGTCGACCTACCTGTATCCGGAAGAAAATTATGAATTGTACTTGAAGAGAACAAAGACCGGAACTAGATAAATAACTATCAAAATCATACAAGGATTCCTCTCACTTACTGTGTCGACAACCACAGAAACTACGTAAAAAGGTACATGGTTAACTCTACAAGAAAAAAATGTACCTGTTTTACACAGTGGGAATGCCTTAAATGGTTAGTGGAATAAGTATTTCAGATTCATCTCCTGATGACCTTGAATGTGATTGGTTGTCTTCCGATGATTAGTATATTTGTGCTAACTTACAGTTTGACCTTTCTGTGATGTGACTTGTTCTTTATTGGTCGATAAATTTGATCTATTTGTCTATTGAGTAAAGATTGATCTCAGAACTCATTGGCCCCTTTAGTATTTCTGCTGTCTAAAATTGTCACATTTCGGACCTACATGTATTAATATGGGTGGAATTCGCGTCGTGTTTTAACGGCTACTTCATGCTATCGAGTTCGAAATGAAAGAGAATGTCCATTTTGGCCGGAATATTACTTTCTACAATTGATGCAATTTATTTTGTTGGTGCTTCGCATTGGTAGAATACTCGCCAACCACGCATGTGGTCCGGGTTTCGATCCCTGGCCGACGTACTCCTTTACTTCGCTAAGCCAGTAATAAGACTGGTAAGGAGGGAAGGTTGGGCATGAATGAGACTAGGAACCCCATCCTGTAAAAATAAACACCACTGCTAACGAAACTTCAAGTCTCTAGCTTGAAGCCCTATGTTTCACTGGGAACATGAAGGAGTAAAAACAAAAATCTGGTTGCTAACGTATTTTTATGCACCTCAAAAATTTCGGTCTTTCTTCGGAGAATATCCTTATTTCTTTGACCAGGTTTTGGTTGAATTGGGCGACAAGCGAAATAATATCAAACACCGAAGCGTAGGTGACACCATATCTCTCATTTTATAGTTTACACTCTTCCACTGATGAAGCAACTGACCTTCTAGGCTAGACACTATGTGCTGAGGTCATAAGGCTTTTTTTTCTAAACTGACCAAATAAATTGTGACAGTTGTGTCCAAACGCTAGTTCACTAATTACCTTGTGTTATTTAGAATATCAACAGATAAATATATTAACCACTTCCAACTGACTGTAAAAGTGATTCAAAAGGCATAGGATTATGAATGAACTAGTATTTGGACACAGTTGTCCCAATATATTTGAATAACCTAGCAACGTGTCTCTTAACTTCAGTCCCACTTTCTATTCATATTCATTGTGATAATTGTGTTTAACTTTTACTTCACTTGTAATGCTATCTTCGATCAGTCATTTTTGTTTTGTCTGTTCTGGATGATGTACAATTGTTTCTCAAGTACGCATGAAAATACTAAGGTACTCAAATAAGCTGTTACGTAATAACTAGGAAGTGAAAATAAAGCTTACAAATGTGATCAAAAAATAAAGGCATGAGATAGTTGTTTTAATAAAGACGTTTTTTTTGAAACAATGAGTTATACCTAGTAATTTAACGTATGGTTGTGAAATACAAATATCTTTTGGGCTGTCTTCCGACTTTTTAAGTTGAAAATTCATTTACGCCTTCCACAAATGAAGACTGCATTGTCTTGATAGCACAATAGGCAGTAAGTAATGTTGCGTCCAATTCTTCTTTTGCTGTAGACTGTATTCTATCAGTCAAGCTTGCAATGTGGCTGCCATGCTAGATAGCTGCATTCTGAATTGTTGTTATATGGTTGGAGGCAAGGGGTAGGAAGCCTTAGACCTAGGTTTTGTGCTTGTTGTAGTAGTCGTCGCTTAATGAAACACTTTCACTTTCATATCATAACTAGTGAAGATGAAAAGGAGTAGTTTCATGTGTTAGTCTCTGAGTACGAATAAAATGGTCACTATATTTGGTAACTCTTGACAGTTGATTTGATTACACTACAAGTAACAGGAAGTCTTAAGAATTAGTTTTTCATTCTTTTGATGCTTTTTATTAAACCATAATTTAAACTTTAAGGATTTCGTTTACAACTACACTAATGAACAGTTACAACAGTTCCTGAAATGCCTACAACATAACCGTTTGTCCAATAGTAGCATTAATTGCTAACTGTCAAAGAAATACAACTATGGAGTAAGTTCAGTCTTATAATCCGAAAAGATTACATTGGAGTTTAAAAGTCTTTCAGCATTATTACATCAGCACAATGACGACAACATTATGAGGCTGCTGTTAGTCATACTACTACTAATAATAATCACAAGGAAAATTCAACTTGTCATCTGTTGTCAATGTTTATGCTGATAGTTTGTTTTACAGTGGTATGACAGTCAGTATGTGAACTATAAGCAGAAATTGAATATCAGTAGATGAAATGGATTGGTTAAAATGTGGTGCTACGGAAAACCTTACGAAAAATATAACTTGGTGATAACGGATAAATATCTCTGGTGAAAGTATGAAAACATAAAACTTGAATATAAAGATTCATTTAAGGCCCTGATTATTTCAACAAACATGAATGAAGGTTAATTTTCGTAATACTTTGTCACTTCACAGAGGAACATTTCAGTAAAATAAAAAACAAGAACATTTAAAATGCTTATGAATAAAGTGTGACAAATTAGTTTCTGATTTTTCAACAGCTTCACTCTTTGATAAATCCTATCAGCATTAAATAGTGAAACGTCAGTAAAAACAATATCGTTTTGTTTTTCATTCATTAGGAAATACAAAAAACCTTTATTATAATGAATATCATATACCCAACGCCCAACCGTTTTTCAAACTGTTAAAAGCTTCACTCTTTAGTTTGCTACCCTTGGACGTTTAAGCTTACACAATGGAAAGTAGGTAGAGAGATCTAATGAAGTGTAAATACCAGTAACAAACATGTTTACTAGGAATACATACATAATCATTTAATTTCATTATGGATAAAATGAGGTCTCCTTTTTTTTTCTGTACGGCGTGATGTGTGGAGATTTAGTTTCTCTGTGCAACTGAAAGATGAAAATATCAATAAAAACCATCTTAACTATTATAAGAGTCTGAGCTACAATGTGATTCAGAGACTTGGTGTGCCCGTCACGAAAAGCCTTACTAAAAGCCCAGTGCAAACTTTCATCAGCAGCCACCTTCGCTTCCCACTGAAGAACAGATGGTCAGAAAGTATAAAAAGTAAGAAAGTCTGGTAACGAACCAACTAAGAATCCATCGCCCAACAGATATATCGAAGGCAATGGAAATGGACTGGACATACGTTAAGAAAACCGTTGAGTGAAGTCACGCTCCAGGCTATTTGTCAAGTTGAACCTGAATGGGGAAATAGTGGAGCCAGCTAAAAAGGATTACGGAAAATAGAGTGGCATGGAGATATGCTAATGAAGCCTTATTTTCCATTTGGAACCCAAAGGAATAATAGTAATAATAATCTAATTATCCCGAAAGTTTGTAAACTTTCATTCGTGGATGAGTAGTTGGAAGACATGGGGTCCTAAGGTGTGCGAAACAGTAAGGCTGTTTTGGCCTATCAAGGTCACTAGTACATTGTATCTTTAGCATGTGGATGAGGAATAAGTCACACAACTTTGCTATTGGCGAAGTCTTTGAACATCTAATCTAATAAGCCATAAAGAACTGTAGCTTTAATTTACTGATTATATTACAACAGAGTTCACATTTTCAGATAAAATCATGCTACTATGGTAGTGTCAAACTGTGCTCTACAAAACTGCCTAACTGTTAGAAAATGACGCCAATATTATTACTCTGTAAAGAAACTCAGAATCGTTAAGCTCACAGCTTTTAAAAATATGAGTCAAACGAGCACATACTGTATGGCATTTCCTTATACACCAATCAGTGCACGAGTTGTTCCCGTGTGGTTGTCAAACCAAACACTTTAAAAAAGGATGAATCTTCTCTCACAAATCAACTCAGAAATATTTTAATTAATAAGAGAATGTGTCGATAATAGTAAAGGTCGGAAGGAAAGAGAATATATGTACACATAAGTCAGTTTATGAGGTTATTTTCGAAATTCTGTTGCCTCATACGTGTTAAATCAGATGACTGAGTGAATAATTATCAAACGTATTTATTTTGGAAGACACTGTTCAGTGTTTTCGTGGCTGAATTTGTTAATAATGTTAAGATACAAGTTTTAATCAATGAATTCAGTCCAACGACAGCAGTTTTATCCTTCTCTTCTGAAACTACAATACTAAGTAAATTTACCTTACAGAATAGAGGTGCTATGCATACCGACAAGCTGCTTCTTTAATGCTGTGTTAACCAAATTAGGAAGGTTTCTAAAAAGTGTGTAAGATGGTCACATAGAGGTGTTGCATCAACCCATGAAGTTTCTTATGATTGGTGTGAGTCATTTGGAAATGTGTTCATTCCCTGACTACAGTCTTAGAATTTGATAAACATCAGTAGATACAGATGTCTAGCTACATGGCTCTTGGTTAACAAAAATCTCAACATATTGGCTAATCTTTAATTCTTTTACTTCTTATTTTACTGTTTGTCCATTTTAGTATCATTCTGTTATTTACATAATTTTCTTGTTCATTATTTGAAGTGTCAAAATTTTAGTCGAAGCACTTCTCTCCAAGGCTGCATACAAATAAATTTGTATTGAGGTATGCCTCTGATAAACTATGGGCAAGCAATTACTCGATATTTGTTCTGTAATGCACATCGGCTGATCCTGGATTTTTGAATCAAATGATTTGGTATGCTGACCGTAGAAAGAAAAAATACTAGGTTTGTAAAAGTACCACGTTTGTTCAGTAAAAAAACTTCAGATACTTACGCTTAAATCTCAGCGAACACCCAATTAGGATGAAGGTCTAGTTCTTCTTCTGGACCGTCAGGACATCGGATGCAAGTACCAAGGGAATTAACTAAATTTTGTTTTGTTCAACAGGCTACTTACTGTAGAAACTTCTTATTTGCTAGCACCATGTCGGTCTCCTATGTACAATCATTCTTCAGCTTCCATCTTCTTTTGTCAGTTCAACACCGGGAAGAAGAATTTTAGGTTCATTTTCTATTTCAAGAGTGGGTCTTATTGCTGGGTGGCAATCAAATTTAATTAAATCCCTTGCCACTTGAATCCGACGATTTGGCGTTCCAGGAGAAGAATTAGACTTCCGGAAGAAATCTTCATCCGAA